TCCCTTCCCAGGGAGACAGGGCAGCCTTTGGAAATCCCTGCTGGAGCCTGCAGCAGCCCCTCAGTTCAAAGCTCCTTTCTTTAGGCCTTGAATTCTCAGCCATAAAGTCTCTGAAGAGGTTTTGATAACTGGCCTATCTTTTAGATAAGCAAAGCTTTGGATGAATCCCACACAGCCCTCTATCTACCACAAGTCCTCATTTGTTTTCCGCCAGGGCACTTGCTGGTTTTCCTCTCCAAGGTGTTGGACAGAAATGTCAAGAGGCTGAAGGGACAGGACAATTTTTCTCTTTTTTTACCAAGTGCTATGGGGCAAAGCAGTTGAAGGAAAACCTGAGTGATAATTGAGCGAGGCAGGTTTTCCTCATGGGAGCTGTAGGTTTATCCCTTGTGCGACAAAAAGGAAAGGCAGAGAGGAAAGACAGATGAAAGTTCATCCTTACAAATGGTTGAAGTAGAGGGAATTTTAAAACAGCAAATGTAATGTATTTAAATCTACAGGGATCAGACTGCAGGACCTTCAACCAGGCAAATCTGCCATCCCAGTCTGGAACAAAGTACGTAAGCAGAGCCTAAAGAAAGAATTTCTGATTTCTGCGAGGCCTTTCTAGACAGTCTCGTCTAGGGAAAACTTATAAAAGGGAAGGGGAAGAAAAGAAGTGGAGGAGACAGTTACTGGAGAGAAGATTTCCTGAAATGAATCAGAGGAAACAGCCAGAGCCTCTCCCAGCAAGGCTACGCACCCCACAAGCTCCTCACCGGTGGCCAAGAGCCCAGAGACAGCCAGTTATGCCCAGGTTATTTATTTCCCTCACTCTGGCAGTGTCACGTAGGTAATGTTTTAGAAAATAGTGTCTTCTTTTATCTGCAGCAGGATACAAAGCAAGAAGCAGCTTCCTAGAGCAGCCAGGCAGAAGGGAGCTGGCAACCTGTGCTGGGTCAGGAGGGGAGGAAGATTAAAAGGAGATGGGATTTTGCTTTGTCCTTCACGGAAGACTTTATCCCCTCCAGATACACAACAGAAGCTTTCTCTCCCTTGGAGGTTGGCCAGCAATGGCCTTCCCGTCTCTCAGAGCTGCTCCTGGGTCACAAACAGGGCAAGCTGTGAGCAGCAGGGCCCTGTCCCCTGCCCCAGCAACAGATCTGCCATCAGCCCCCTGCTCCCAGACTGCCTGCCCGTGTCCCTGCTTCCTTGGGTGGCACTCGTCCCCGTGCCAGCCCTGGCTTCTCGCCCACTGCAGGGCGACGCTCATCAATTAGCGCACAACAAATAATTAAGCTGATGAATGTCTCTTTTTTCCTCCTGCTTTCTGACTGCACTTGCCTCGAATTTATGCCCAGATTATGACTGAATTTATTCGTTGCCACTTGCAGCATTCAAAAGAGGCCGTTAATGATTTCTTTTAAGCTCTCCAGCCTGATTGTGAGCAGTGCAGGGCAAATACTCATTATTTCCTATCTAAGCAGCAGTGCTGATTAGTTGGTGCTCGGTCAGATAAGTCACACTGCTCCATTCCCCACTCGCTGACGGAATCCACAAGGTCATTCCCTGCTAATGCTCAAATGCAAAGGGAAAACATGGGATAAGCATGGAAGTCCCTTGTGCATTTTCAGGGCAACAAAACAGGAGCGTGCAAAGTCTCACATTAAGTAAGAGGGCTTGGTTTTAAAGTGAACTTGGCTTGAAGTATTTTGCTTTCAGGCAGCCTGTTCACAGCACTGTGTGCAGCCCAAAGTGTGTTTGGGAGGGCAGTGGGACTGCAGTGAAACTTAAGTCTTGACAGTTTGCGGACACTAAAGATCTGAAGCCAGCTCTTACTCGACTGTTAACTCCTGAATCTTCACATGGTGCAATGTTAATCTTCAGCCCTTTCCCAAAATAATGTGTGGAGTTGCTATGTTCTCTTAAATGTGAACCATGTGTCACCTCAGCAATGGCTGCTGTGGGGAAAAGATGATAAATCTAAAGCTTTTAAAATGTCCTGTGACATTTTGGGAGAAAAACAGGTGTTGCATAAATGTTGGACATTTATGGGCAAACTTGCAGGGGCTTTAAAAGACTGACACATCTGCCACATAGTATGTAACCCTGAAAGAAAAGGAGCAAAGCAGTCTCTTTCATGTGTCTCACTCTCTCTACAACCGTATGAAAATACATCCTCATCTGGTATTGGAATTAACAGAGCTGGACTCGCCCCTCCCTATGTCTCCTCCAGGTTTTTGGCTTTTACACCCAATGTGTATTTTAAAACTGTGCCTTTTTAAGTAGGTGGCAAACTGTGCTGGAAGGATTTGGTATGCGGAGTATTTTTATTCAGCTCCTTTTTCTCTCACCTTTCATTGTTTTTCCCTTTGGAATATCTCCTGTAATGCTCCACTCATAAACCTCTTCAAAGGGAGGGCTGTATTTGAACAGCCTGGCCTGAAATCTGGTCTCAGTCAAAGGCCTCAGATGGGAAAATAACTGGGAGAGCCAAGCCCCACGGCCCCACGGCTGCTGCTGCAGGTGTCGGCAGCCGCTTTGCAGGAGCGAGGTTCTCCTGCTGCCTCCTTGACTCTGACCCCACAGCCCCCCTGGCTGGGTTATTATTCCCCCTTTTACCCTATAAATGTAATAAACTGGGACTTAGCATCTTGCTTTTAGTGTGGAAGGAGAAGGTGGTTTTCCTCCCTTCTCCCAGGCGTCTCATTCGGCTCCTGGGACGTTGTTGGAGTTCTGGGAGACTTTGGATGCTGAATGCATGTGATGGGCTCCATGGCTCAGCCCTCCACCTGTGTGATCTTGAGGATGGGGGATTATAAACTGCCAGCTAGGGCAAGTCTAATTCCCCAGTCACAACGATCCAGCTCCCAGGGAAGTCTGTGAAAGCGGACTTATCTCCAAAAAGCTACAAAACCTCCCCCTCCATAGAGAAAATCCATCAGACGTGTGACCAGCTGCCTGTCTCTGACCATTTGCCCTCTGCATCAAGCACTTTTAGCACAGAGAACAGCAACCCACTGGGCTACAAAGTGCTTCCCCTCCTTGGGAGGCCACTTGGTTTCTGGGTGGCAGGGAAGCAGCAGATATTTTGAGCGTGAGTCGCCTGGCTGGTTAAGTGTTCACAACTCTGTGCAGATCCCACTTCGTCTCAACTCCCTGCCCAGCAATAAATTCTGCTCCCAAACTTTAATCCTGTCCCTCCCCACCCCCCCCACCATCTCAGCTCTCACATCCCCCTTGTTTCAGTTGTGCCCTCAGCTCCTGTCTTGATGAGGCTGGTTTGGGTCGGTCCCCTCCCAGGCACCTCGCTTTTGTTCTTCTGACACTGTTTGGGGTTTTTCGTCGCCTGCTCTCCAGCCTGCAGGCAGTGAGATAAAGTTTCCCAGGCAGGCTGTTTTGGGAGGAGAAGACCTGCACCATGCTGAGCTACCGGGCACTTCCAGCTCTGCCCTCCCGGCTGGTGGGAGGTCAGCGAGCAAGCTGTGCTGCTGCGGGGCTGCTCCTCCCAAGGAGGTGGAAAATCAGCCAGAGATAGCAATCTCTTCTTGGAGACGACTGATGAGCCACTGCCTGTCATCCTGCTCATCTCTTCAGAGGTTGTTTCACCAGGGAGCCCCTTTTGGGGTCTCCATGCCCTACTCCACCCGTGGGGAACTGAGGAGCTGCCCTGCCTGGGCTTCCCTGCATGTGGCTCCCAGGAATTTTTTCAAAAGGAACACCACAATAGAGGGGAATATTTGTCCAAAAAGAGCACAGCTAGGGAAACGACCTCTTCCCCTGCATTTTCCTCAGAGGAGAAATTAACTCCTTCCACTTGCCAGGGCATGCCCATCTCCCTTCCCCTTCCTCTTTGGTCCCCCCAGACAGCCCACAATGCTGAACCAAGGAAAAGAAGTCTCCAGCCAAAGCTGGAGAGAGGACCTCCTTCCTCAGCTGGGTGACATGGATGGTGTCATATGCTGAGCCCAAGCACCCTCAGGTTTTGTTATTTATTAATATGTATCAGATACTCAATGCAGTTGGATTTTTCATTCTGTTCTATACACAAATCTGGAAGATAAGGTAAAATATTCACCTGGCAGAGTCTAAAATTTGCGTTATTTTTTTGAGAGGAACCTAGTTCCAAATCCCTGCTGGTTAGAAACCTATAAAATGTTGTACTGCTCCAAGCCACAAGCTCTATCACCCCAGTCACTGTCTCTAACAGTGATCAGAAATTTGTGTTAAAGAAGCAGAAAAAGGTGGGGTGTGTGTGGAGGGACTCTTCCCCAGGCTCAAACAGCCAAGGGTTCAAATATTGCTCAGCCAGAGGCTGCATCCAGATCACAGTGTCTAATAGCCACTGAAGGAGCAAAGCTCCACCAATGGGCCTGTTCTTTTTTTGACTTCAAATATATTTTTGTTCTTAATAATGCTCTGTGGCAGCTCATCCTATTACTCAAACACATACTGTGCCAATAAGGATGTTCTTTCGTCTGTTTGGATCCTGCTTCAAGGAAATTACCACTTCACCCCCTCATTCCTGAGTGATAAAAAACAGTGGATTTTACTTTCCTAAGCATCATTCCTACCTTAAGTAATGATTTTATAGATCTCTGTCACTAGATTTCTCTTTATGCAAGGCTCTGGTCTATGTGGTCTCTGTGCAAAAAAATATTTGACATCTCCACCCAGCCCTGCTGCCCTGCTCCACATTCTTCTCTGTCCCACTCTTGGATGGGACAGTCAGCAGCAAGCCAGGCACATGTGGGTACATATGGATCAAAGAATAGATCCACAATGATGCTTTCTTTTTACTCTCTCCCATTTTCCTAATGACTTCTACATTTTAGTTTCCCTTTGGAGCCTTGAGGATGGATGATAAATGAACCAGCAAGAACTCAGTGCCTATGGTGATGCTTGGGCTGAAGATCCTTCTGAGACCTTGGACCTTCCTTTTTTGAGCAAAAATAATTTTTCCAGGCACAAAGCAGCACTCAGCAAGGAATTCCCATGGGAAGAGGAAGGGGCATCCCTACCTTTTTGGTCTTGACTGTTGAGGCACAGCAGTCCCCACCATCATAGTTGCAGAAGGCTCTGTTGTTGATGGAGTCACAGTAGTTGTCCCCCATGAAAGGCTGAAAAAGGAAAAAGCAGGAAAAGGCTGAGAGTGTGAACATGGATAAAATTAGCTCGTTCCTTATGGACACAGAGTGAGAAAGTCGTGGCTGGAGAAGAGGGGGTTGTGTGGAGACCTCACAGCACCTTCCAGGGCCTGCAGGGGCTATGGGGACTATGTACAGACACTGTTCATCAGGCACTGAGGGGCAGGACCAGGGGAAATGGCTTCACATTGAAGAATGGAAATTTAGGTTAGATGTCCAGAAGAAATCCTTCCCTGTGAGGGCAGTGAGACCCTGGCACAGAGAAGCTGTGACTGCCCCTGGCTCCCTGGAAGTGTCCAAGGCCAGCTTGGACACTGGTGCTTGGAGCACCCTGGGACAGTGGAAGGTGTTCCTGCCCATGGCAGGGATTTGAAAGTGGATGACCTCAAGGCCCCTTCCAACCCAAACCAGTCTATGATTCTATAATCCTGAAACCTGTAACAGTATTTCAGAAGAAAACCACAAAAATGTGAAGGAGTCATATAGTTTGTAACACACCAGCTGCCCTGAAAAGCAAGAGATAATTATTCCCCTTTCCCTTCTAAACAGACAGGAAAAAAAGGACAGTAGATGGAAGGGAAATGAGCCCTTGTTGCCTCTTCACATCCCACATAAGAGGATGCTTCAGGAATATTAATTTGACTAGGCCTACAGACAGCATCCAGGCATCTAAAATTGTGGCACCTTTGATAATTTTAAGCTAACCTCCCTAAACTGTGTGGGATAAGAAGAAGGTTATGTATTGCAGCAAAATGGGCTTGCTTTTAATAGCTGAGCTTTTCACCAGAGTTCTCCTGACTCCGCAACACGTGTCAGCAACGAGGGCACAAAACAAATCACCAGGAGGAATGGAAGGGTCTGAGCTCAGCACAGGGACCATGTTCTCTCTGAACAGCAGTGGCTGCGTGGGACCCTGGCCATGGCATGTGATCTTCCTCCACTCCACAGCTCAGAGCTGGGATAATGGCAATTATTCAGAGGGACATTGTGGAGAGCTGTTAAGGGAAATTCATAAATCACCTTGAAAAAGAAAATGTGCTCATTAGGCTGGGCAATGTGATCACCAGTCCATGTGCTGCACAGGGCCTGAATAATAACCACGATTCTGAAGGAAAGGCCTGAATTCTTTCATTGAACATTGGAGCCCTTTTGGTCGGCAAGTACAGAAGTCTTCCTTGGAAGTCTAAGCTGTGTCTAACAGTAAAAAAGGTCCATACCACATGTGAGAATCCCAGGCAGCAATGAAAGCTCAGAAAAATGGATGATCAGCAGAGAGCACAGTCATATCTCTGTAACTCTCCACACACGGGCTCATGAGGCCATTCCCGTTTTATCCGCTCATTGAAAAATTCACTTATTTTGCACTGAGAAAAACACACCAGGGACTCTCCTGCAAGAAGACATCATTGCAGAGCAGGCAGGATGTCTTGGGGAGGTTTCCTGGGAGGATTTTGCATCAGTTGCAGGCCCAGAGTGTCCCAGATGATGGATACCTGAAGAAGCAGCCATGAGAGCTCACCGTGCTCTCCCCAGAGCTCACCATGGCCACACTCATCAGAATTTGAATGAACTCAATGGAGCGGGGCAAATGCACACTTTTACTGCTGATGTGCTGCAAATTTAAATTTTTCCATCAGGTAGAGGAAACCCAGGCAATGATGGGAATATCAGACCACAGCAGGACTACCAGGAGGGGACAGACTCCCTTAGTGTCACTTGTTTAATTACGTGCAGATACTGCAAATTTTGACAAGGAAATCAGAGTTCCAGCGTGAGGCTCCTGTCTCTCTAAACTGTCTTAACTCCACTGATTTCCACAGATATTGATTTATTTATACAGGCAAAGGCTTTGACTTGAAAGCCCCCTTCCAATTTAATTAATATTCCAAGAGTTAAAAGGGAATGATTTATAAATACATGAACAGATATTTTGAGGCCAAGCTGGTCATATTTAAAACTGTGAACTTTGCTCAACCTCACAGGAAATTCTGCAGGCTTCTCCATGTTTCTCTTGCGTTGCCTGGCTGTGCCTGCTTGATGGGAAATCTTGACTTTAAATTTCCATCCCTATGCCTGTACCCTACACCTATGAATGCTGGAAAATCCATAAAGAAACTCGTGGAAGAATTTGCTCTGGCACAGAGTAGACAAGCCAGTCCTTTGGAGGAGGAGAAGAATGGGACAAAAAGCATCTATTCTGATTTGGGACCAAAATCCTTGCTTGGGAGACCCTGGCGGGTGAGGTCTCTGTTGCTCTTCATGCAAGTTGTAGTGCTCAGATATTTTTGGAGGACGATACATGAAGTCCAGAGGGACTCGTTTGCTACTGAAACACCCAAAGTTAGGTGCAGACAAGTACGAGGCTGACTCATAAGCCTCTGTTCCTGCCACTAGGGAGCGACAAAAAATCACATTGCAGCAGCTGCAGGGCTTCCCACTGCGATCACCAAGAGCCAAATAATGCCCCACTTACAGCCTCCTGTTCGGGGAAGCCTCCCTAATGCTAAGGCTGCTCATACATTAGGGGTTCTATCAGCTTAATGGCCCAGCATTATTGGCTTATTAGTCTCTGTTTCCATAGTCATGGGGAAAAAAAAAAAAAAAAAAGGCTTGGTGAAGATGGCATTTCTTCTGAAATCTTAATGCCAAGCTCTGGCCTATCCATGAATCCTGTTCTGAAAATGATGCTAGAGGCCATTATCAATTGTCTAGGCAAAGCCTTCCCAGATGATGGATTAGGATGCAGTGACACTGCTGAATGAATGTTGAAAAGAAGAAAGTTCCTGTTGATGCAGAGGGCTCTGGCAATTAGCAGTGATGGAAAGGAAGAAAATGCTGAGGAGAAGCATGTCAGTAATAATGGCTTCTGGTAAATTATTACATCATTGCAAAGTTTGTCTCAGTAACAACTATCCTTAAACAGCAGGAGGATGGACACCCAGTGGTGCATCAGCACCTGAATGGCATTTTTTTAATGGTGGCTGGATGTTATTTCAGCTCTCTTTGGAGAATGGGGGCACCCAGCCAGCCTGCATGAATGCGATGCGTGAGACAGCTTATGACATTCAGAGCACTGACAGCAGAATGCTTTTCATTTAGGGAACAGCTAGACAGAAACTATTACATTGTTGGAGAGTTATTACCCTCCTGGGCCCGACATTTGTATGCGAAGGAAACCTGTCTTTCACTTCAAGAAAAATCACATCCCACAGCAGTGTGGTCTGGAGCTTTGTGTCATATTCAGGAATTCAGTCCCATGTTCTGACAGTTTGGGCAAATAACTTCAGAGTGCTTGGGTTACGAAGGTGCTGAGAGCCTGGTCAGCGTGGCAGAAAGTCAGGGCACGTGGAGGGAAGACACAGCTCTGCCTCTGCCCTGAGCCAGCTCATTTCCAAAATGGGCATGGAGCTTCCCAACCTCCCAGAGGTGCCACAGGGATTGACTTCTTGCTATGGGTGAGATACTCAAGGGCTGGCATGATGGAAACCCCATGAGTGCCTTGTCACAGACTGAGGTGCTCCAGCCCTGTTTAACCATCAGAAGCATCTTCAGTCTTCTCAGACATTTCAAAAATTGCTGCTGGCAGAAGCAACATCCTTCAAAATAATTACTTTTTTCTCAAGTAACTTGCAAGACTCTCAAAGTCTATCACAGCTGAATTGTAACTGCATTTTTCTGATTATTTCTTTTCTGGTTTAGACAGAGGTGGCCAGTGGAGGGAGGTGTGATTTGCTCCATGTCCAGCTGTGCTGTCCACCCAGTGGTATCATCTCTGGCTTTCCTAAACTTTCTCTGCCCACACCAATGCCCAAAGCTTAGCTGGCCTTGGAAAGAATTGTCCCTCAAATAAGTCAAGATCAAGGAAAAACAAGAGAAGGCTTTTGCAACTTCCCAGAAACTCCCAGATTCTGGGAAATTCTTTTGGTCAACCAATGTTTTTGAGCTGTTTGATCATGTAACTCCTGTGAGATTCACCAACCATCATCTCTGGGAAAACCACCAATTTCCCTACCAAGTGTCAGAACCAATGCAGGCAACCAGCCTGTGTGATAGGGTGGTCAGGGCAAAATCCTACTTGCCCCACTTGAAAACCAGAATTTACAGCCTGCAGTGATTGTTTCTGTAAGATTTAGGAGAGTCACCATGGACCACCTGAGCTAAAGCCAAACTCACCTCACAGCCTTTAACACAATGAATCAGGGAAGGGTGAGGGTACCACTTGAGTCCTGCTGTGCAGACAACACTCTGGAGGGAAGAAATAAAAAAAAAAGCAACAGGTTAAGACAAAGAAATCAGTGTACAGAAAGTCAGTGTGCTGGCTCCTGTGGCTCTCCAGTACTTAACCAATGAAGTTCAGTTCCTAACACCTCTTGTGTTCTCAGGACCTGGCTGTCCTCCAGGTATTTACAAGAAGTGTTGGACTTGACACTTGCAATAACAGAGCATTTGAGATTAAAATAATATTTGAGGTTCTTCTAAAATGTCATGCCCAATATTTCACTCATGGTGGGGGAACGTGGCAGGGAAAGGCAGAGGCACAGGTCCACTTTTGCTCTTGGGTAGGGGGGAGGCATTCTAGGAATTAATTTAGGGATTTCTTTGGTGCTGCCAAGAATTGCTTTCTTTCACTGCCCATCATACCTTTGATTCTTGAAGATGGAAGCAGCTAAAGGTGGATTTTCAGACATATTTTAGCACCATCTTAAATAAAAGCACCTCCCAGCACACACCTTCAGAATAACCCCCAGACCAGACAGCATCCTTGGCTACATTTTATGAACTGTATAATCATTTCTATTCCAACCTTGTCTATAGAAGAAAGGTTGCACATTCAGTTTTGGGCAAAAATGATGACCAGCCTCCTAGATAATGACACAGAGAGGGACACGTAGATTTAAAGAGTGGATGAAAACTTTGGCTGGTCAGTGGAGATGGTGGTTCCACACCATGGGCATCCTGGAGATAGGGCTCCCAACAGGAGTCCATCCAGCAGGACATCAGGCACAATGTTCCTTTGGGGTTGCTACCCATGGATGAAGCCCTACAGTGTCCAGTTGAGCAAGATGAACGCACAGGGACTCACCTACAGTGTGGGGTTGGGGTTGGATGGAGGCCTGGGGAAGGAAGAGATTAACGTTTGGGAAGACCCAACACACAAGCCATCCCTTCCCCTGTTCATCTGAGGGCTAATTTATTCCATCTGCAGGGGAACCTCAGCTTGTTTTTACAGTTCCTGTCATTGGAGGCTTACCTGGCGTGTGCTAGAAAAAAGGACTTTTATACTATCTGACTCGGGCTGTTTATCTTTCCGATGCTCTTGGATTTTCCACTATTAGTCAAGCCCAGCTTGCCCCACCTGCCTCTCAACAGGGCCTGTCTGTGTGAGCAGAGAAGTGGCAGGGCAGGGGAGGATGTTGTTTATCCCCGGGAGGGAAGGAGGGAGGGAGGCTGCAAGGTGCGGGGGCCCTGCGGTGTCACACGTTCCCCTGGCCCTCTCTTGACAGACAGCTGGAGATTTCCAGGCTGCTGCCTGCCACAAATGGTGAGGGCTTTTCTCTCCCCCCACCCCCTTCTGTTTGTTGCACTTCGGAGGGGAAAGAGAGGAAACTTTTCTAGGTTTGAAAATAAACAAGGCCAATCAACAGAGAGGGAGTGGGGAGAGTAAAGGAAGCGGTTCAAGAGCATTTGAACCCAAGAATTAGAACAAAGTGGAAAAAATTCAGGGGTCTGTCTCCTGTATCCAAGGCCAGCAGACAATAAGTGGAAGAAGTGCACTTCCAAAGAGCACCTCACATTCCCCTGGTAAGAAGCATCAATATTTACAAAACCTCACACTCTGTGAGTGTGTGAGCATGCAGAATGAACAAAAGAAAACAAATAAGCCCTGAACCAGGCTCTTCAGAGAGGAGCTTTCCACATGAGAGCAGTCCCTCACAGAGGATGCACTGACTGTTTTCCTGACCCTTCGAGTATTAAAACATCAGCACCTCCCTTAAAGGAATGGATGGGAGGTGAAGTTTCTGAGATAGTTCTCTCTGAGTGTTCACTCAAGGTCATCTTCAATCCCAAACACAGCCTTGGGCTGAGCATCCCCAGGGGATGGGAATGAGCCCCAAGTTCTCTACAGCATAGGAAAGCCAGGAGCCAGGTGAATCACTGGGTCCTTTGGACATTCCCATTCCTCTGGAGTGGCACCTGCCAACAGCTTCGTACCAGTGACATTGCCCTCCCCTTGGACCATCCTTTGCTAGCAGAGACCACTAGAGCTGAATTCAATCCTGCTAACATTCCTGGAGCTGGAAGCAGAGGGAAAAACCCCAGGCCATAGTCCTGACTCCTTTTTCTGGTTTTCCAAGCCCTCTGTTCCTACCACCCAGCCTGTCTGTACCCTCAGGCTGCTGCTGTGCTGTGCACAGTACACTGGGAGAGAGGATGTGAGTAGAGGGAGAGAGACTGGGCTAGAAAACCAAGAAATTGGGAATGATTTGGATTGCTGGGCATTGTTTCTGCCTCCTGCAATTCAAACAGGCATACAGGTGCCACAGGGTGCTGCATGGGGCACCTAAAATGAACAAATGTATGGAAAGCAAGCAAGGATGGGTGAAGGTGGTACATGAGGACAATCTGATGGAGTTGGTGTGCACAGACAAGTAGACTCAGAATGCCAGCAAAGGATGGCATGGTGGATGGAAGCACCATAGCCACCACATGCCAGGTGGTGCCTGGGGAATAAAACCCATCTGGGCACTGTCCCCTGGGAGCCCTGTCCTTTCCTCATGCTGCCCTGTGCTCCAGGCCCCCCTGGTGACATCGGCTCCCCTCGTGCAGCACAGCTGTGCAGCCAGGTGGGGTGACTGGGGTCCTGTCCCCAGCCCAGGAGCAGCACCCTGCCACGTCAGAGTGGGGGCCTGGGACTCATCTGCTGTGAAGGGAGAGGCAGCCGGGCTGTGCTCCCACAGTAGGTGACAAAGAGCCAAGGAAGCAAATCAAGCTGTCATTTTCTCCTTGTGAAGGAAGACCCAGTGCCTCTGGTGCTGGCTTCCCTCCCATGGTGGGACTAATACAATGATGTCAACCCTTTGTGGGCTGCAAGGGGATCAGGTTTCCCCCAGAGAGGCTGGTGGAGAGCTTCCCTCCACCTTAGATGGGTCAAGTGTCCCCCCAGGCTGGAGCCCAGGGATTGGCATCTCCTGCTCTCAGCTAACTCACTCCTCAGGCACTAAAGGAACAGGACAATTAACTGTGGGCTTTATGAGTGAGGGGACCAGCCACTGCTGCCAGGAAAGGGGACTCCTCCTATAGCTACAGATGGAATGGGATCTCCTGCCTTCCCAGGAGTGGAGCTGCTGCACCACAGTTGCTCACATCATTGTTCTGTGACTCAGTTTCCCTGCCACAAAATGAGCCTGAAATTCTCAAAAAACAAAAAAAAACCCCAAAAAACCAACCAACCAACCAACCAACCAATAACCTACCAACCAAACAAACAAAAAACCCCCAAAAAAACCCAAACCCAAAAAGCCCCCACAAACAAACAAACAAAACCAAACAAAAAATACTGGGAGGGGAAGGAAGAAGGAAAAGTGCAAAGCTTTAGTGATTATGGGAGTATTTAAGGAGCATTCCCACTAATGAGTTCTGGACATTTTTAATTGCAGGGCTTGCAGTCTGCATGGGAAGAGGGGCCATGGTCACGCTCAGCCCAGCAGAGCTGGAACATGCAGACCCTTTGAAGGCTCTCCCAGGCATGCACATGCCTGCACACTATTTAGCCTGCCCCTAGTCAGCACTAAGGCAGGAACCCAAGTTCAGACAACCTAAGAAACGAGGTGTCTGCTCTGTTTCTCTGCAGTCAATGGGAAAGAGCTGTCAAGCTGTCTCTTGGAGATATTTCCCTTTTTTCTCCCCACTGCCTGCACAGTCAGTCTTGGCAGCTCTATCCATCGGTGTCTTCAGCAGCTCCTTGTGCCACACACAGTGAGGGGAAAATTGTGGGGACAGCGTTGGCTGCTCTGAACACATCCCACAGCAGAACAGAGGCACAGAACATTTCAGGTGATTTTTTTTTTTTTCTTGCTGAAAATACTGATTTGGAAGACACTGCCAGCTTGTACTGATTTCAGCAAACTGTTTCAGACCCAATAAAGCAAATCAACCTAAATGAATTCTGAAAAATACAAAAATATTTAGACATTTTGTGAAATGAAATATCTGTTGTTGTTTATTGTTTGAGAGGACATTTAATTTCTAAGTCTTTGCTGTGTTTTTGTTTTTTTCTTTCATTTTCACTAAACAAAAAGTTTACAAAATCTCCTTGGAAATGAAATGCTAGGTTATGTTCAAACCAACATGTTTTTTCTTCCAATTTTTTGGTTCACCAAAAATCACAATAACAAAAGGGTCCCTTTGATTAGGGATTCTTTTTTTTTTTTCAGTTCAGGAGAACTTTGAGTGAACCGAAAAATCAAGTGATTTGCACAGCTCTGCTCTAAACAACGCTCAGAGAAGGGATAGTTCCTTCTTTCCATTTTGCTTCCATAACAGATGTTGCTTGAGCTGCTACAGACAAATTATTTATTTTTCCTTGTCAGCTCTCCCTGTGTTTTCTCTGTCCCCATCCCCTCAAAGGTAAGCACCACAGATCAGTCCTGCCTTTATCTTCTTCCCATCCTGCCCTCATTTGTACTTTACTTGTGCCTGAAATTAAAGCAACAAAAAAGTGTTTCCTTTGCGTCATTCAAGTGCTCTGAGGTGCACAAAGACTCGTCGTGTAAATGCAACCAGCTGCTCCCTGTGCTCATATGGCACAACAGCAGAGCTGTCACTGGCCATAAACAGAGACACGGCTTATTAATGATATATAACACATTGCCATGGGGACCTTCCCCCAAGGCATCCCAGCCCCATCTCTCCAGGATGTCCCCACTCCCACCAGAGGCAGCGTTTCTCTTGGTGGTGCCCCAAGAGGTGTCGCTCCCCATGGGTGACATCCCATTATCTGCAGAGTTGGAGAAGATGAATGTTTTACAGCTACCATTTTTTTCATTAAGGATTTTTTTAATCCCTTTCAGCATGTCTTCCCTCCCAACACGAGTTCTCCAGCCCAAATCACACTCTCTAGCCACAAAGCATTTGTGGAACTTGTATCTGCTCAGGACCTAAAGCTCTTGCAAGATCTTCACTATCAGGGGGAAAAAAAAAGGGCTTATTTACTGCTGTGCTCTTGGAAACCATGATTTCTCCTCCATCCCTCACTCCCCTTGTCTCCCCCTTTACTACTCTATGTTTTCCCTGCTGCCTAATGAGCCCTCCAGAGACCTGCAGGTATAAAACTCGTTACAGCTCCCTCCACGTACCCGCATCAATAAGTGAAGGAGTGCAGAGAGAACAGGAGGGAAGCTGTCACTTTATTTCCCCATGAATTACAAACCACTTTAAAGTCTGGCACTCAGGAAAGGGCCAGTGAGAAATTGCCCCTCATACAGAGATAGGGGTTTTCTTTATGTTTCATGCCAGAAACTTGGCAAGGCCTTGGCTTAAGGCAGTCACAGAACATCAGCGTCTGGAGCGAATGGGAAGCTGGGAAGGACATTATGAGCTTGTCATATTATCTGGACTTAGGTTTCCCACTCCTTTCCCAGATTTATTCTCTTGCTCTGCATGAAACAGTGAAGTTCAAAGTGGTGGAGAGTTCTGGAGCCACTTGCTACCCACAGCCAAGGCCAGATTTCAAAAATCCCAAACCCTAGGTGTACATTTAGGCATGTAGAGAAGCAAATAGACTGTCAAAGCTGCTCAAGACATGCTGGGGCTGTGTTGGCTGCTTGTTCTCCTTCTTAATGGAGTTCAGGTGTGTAAAACAGACTCCTGAAAAGCCAGGACCAAGTATGTAAAAGCCAGAGGTGTTTGCTCAAGCACCATCAGTAACTTGCACCCTGGTGACACCTGATGTGCCACCGTCTTCCACCACATGCTCGAGCGTGTCCAGTTCGACTTCCACACCTGCAGAAATGCCATAAAGCCACAAACACCTGGTTTGTTTGTAGGAACATGAGGGTTTCCAGGAAGAGTTAGGTGACTGTGCCTCCCACTGACACCGAAGGGTGGGCATGACACCCAGCAGCTGTTTGCTGCCAGCGGGGCTGAGTGTGTGTGTGCATGCAAGGCACTGCACGAGGTGTGCACGTCCCCATCGGGGCACGCTGCCACTGCTGTGTGCTGGAGGACACTCAGGACTGTGAGCAGCTAGTGCTGGCTCTGCGTTTGCAGCAGGCAGGAGGGAGAAGTGGTGACCTCTGGAAGGGGCTGTGCTGAGCAGGCAGCTCTCGCATGCGGGCGGAGGGGCGGGGGGAGCACTCAGCCAGCTCCGCGGGGTCGGGAAATGAAAAACCCTCTGTATCAGCTTCTTTTGTCATCCAGAAGCGGCACAGAAAAATCCAGCCCTGCCACCCAAAGAATGCAAAATACGGAACAGGAGGAAGAAAATAAAGCCTGGCCAGTGCCCTTTCTCTGGCTGTCCATCACATCTTCCTGTTGGATTTCCAGATCCAACCCCACTGGTGTGAGGCCTCTACCTTGAACTGACTTTCACTTGGCAAACACAGAGAGAAAGCAACTTGGAGAGAAAGCCACTTGCAGAGAAAGCCACTATGTTACTGGAACAGACACGAGAAAAATCAGGAATTCTTTCCTAAAGGTCCAAATTCTCCATTTTCCACAGGTAACACTGATCACTCACTGCTCATAAACATGCAACAAAGGATGTGGTTCGTGCAGTCGCCAGGCACTGACCTTCACTCTCTGAGGGTTCATCCAGTGCTGGATGTCTTGCACGGTCTCATTCACGCGCAGGAGGATGGGCTCGTGACTGTGATCCAGACAGGAGGTGGTACACTCTGTGCCTGCTCAAAACACAAAGGGGATAAAGCTAAAGGATAAAGCAGGCAGCTTCTGACCCTTCCAGCATCTTTCCAGCTGAAGGACAGGATTACGGCTCGTTTTTCCTAAATTGCAATTAGCAGTCAACCATAACTATCACATATCTCCTAGCCACACGTGAAGTGCTGAGTACAACCCTGTACTGAGCAGGGGAGCGTGGGGGTGGCAGGTCTTCCAGGGCCTTTTTGAACAAGCTGCAAATCTAAGTGTTTGTCTGGCAATTAACTCCAAGAAGGGGGTCAGGTTTTGCGCTTTCAGATCATCAAGACAATGTGAAGGTTTTTCCATTTCAACTGCTCTTTCAAGCAGTGGGGCTGATTAAGGAGAGGCTGTCAAACTCATCTCACCTGTGACATGGCAGAAACCTATTGTTTGATGGGTCAGATTTACAAACATCCAATAATAATCTTCCAAAGGGTGACCAGACCTAATGGTATTGGAGACCAGCTATCACCCAAGTCCCATAGTCAATAAGAAGTACGCAGAAAGGTAATGATGGCTTTGTTCACACATAAAACTGCTTTTTCTCTGATTAACTGTCATGCCCAGTGGGAATCCTGTCCTTTCTTTATTAAAACATGCTGTGATACTCTGCAGCAATATCCCAGAGCCCTGTGGTGACACAACCATAAGCCCTTGTGTGTTGGACCATTACCATTTCCCCCCTGGAAAATCACTCTTGAATGGCACAGCTGCTGCAAACATGTCATTAGGATTTCTGCACTCCAATCAGCGCTGGGGGAGGAATTAATCTCTGCACTGGTTTGGAGAGCTGAACCTTTGGCTCAACACACGCCTCAGCCTGGAAGGGCAGATTAGGTGTCTGAGGAATTACTGAAGGTGTGTGGGATTCATAGTGACCACGACTGGTTGATATTATTTTTCCCACCTGCTTCTGCCTTCTCACATTCTCCACTTGGAGGAGTCAGTGGGAGCAGCCAGATCTAGGCTGGAAAGATGGGGAGCACTTTAGGTTTGTTTTGCTTTCCCAGGACACCTGGAAGTGGCTCCAAGGACCTACTGGATGAGGCCTATTGACACCACCCCCAGAGTGAATGACTGGCTCCTCTCCATGAGCGTGGTGAATGCTTTTTCAAAAGGACATTGATCAGGCTTTCAAAAATGCAAAGAGAGGAAAACCCCAACATCTGATCCCAAAAGTTGGTGCTGGGTGAGCCTACAAAGTGTGTGGTATGTCTCCATCTGCTGAGAATGAGAGCCAGCGGCCACTGTGCCCTCTCTGAGCTCTAAATCCCTTTCCAGAGAGAGCCACACTCCTGTGGGGGGTCTGCCCCATGCATCCCTCACCTCCATGATGCTGTGTGGTCCCATCCTAGGGTCAGACCCACCAGTCCCTGGGATTGGCACCTGCTGACAGTCACTGTGACAGGAGCCAGAGCTGGCAGGCACCCAGCACTGAGATGCTGCCCTCCAAACCAGGAACTGGGGTTTCTCTCCTTGCAAAAACCTGTCTGGCCCTGGAGGTAACCTCGTCTCAAGGGTAAAACGCCTCTCCACATTAAGAGTCGCCGCAGCCGCTTGCTCTCCCGGGCTCCACCACGCTGGTGGAGAGCGGGTCGGAATTGTTTTGATATATGATCTGTAATTGGCATCATTACAGAGCGGTGATCTCATCCAGGTCGTGTTCTCCTCCCCGGGGAGGGAACACAAGGAGGCTCGTAGTCCTGCGCATGGCTGCGATATAATGAGGGAGCCGCGCAAGGAGGAAATTTCTCCAAGTTCAAAGGGACAGGCGGAGGCAGGAGGGGGATGGCTGGGAGGGGGGCTGCAGGAAGGGGCCTCGCAAACCTGTGTGGGCTGCAGGCAGTGCAGCTCCTGTTGCAGCCCTTACAGCAGGGAGACCCCCAAATTGGGGGCTGAAAGTACAACACAGTGTGTACAGCTCAGAGTGTCTGTCCCTCCCTGTGCCTGGGTGACACAAAGCCATGCTGAGCACAGCAGTCATCACCCTTTGCACAGGGAACAGGTATCCCAGAAAGAAGGAGGAAAACAGACCCTAAAACCAGCTCCTACACAACTGTCATACCAAAGGGAATGCTCAGCTGGTCTCATTATGTTTCTGGGGAGACCTGAATTATCCTAGTGCTGCATTCTCCTGTCAACTCTTTGTCTTTCAGCTTCTGGAGTGCAGGTTTGTGCATGTGGCTGGAGGAGTGGGGCATTACAAAACTGTAAGACCAAAAGCAGGTACAACCCCTCCCTGGCACAGTCTGGCATGCTGCTGCCCCTGAAAACCAGCTGGCCAAGAAGGGACACCATGAAACTGGAAGCCCTGCAAGGAGCCTGCAGTCAGAGCATGTTACATGATGCCTGGCCTCTCAGAGCTTCACATTTCCTAAAAGCATTTCCCTGAAAAGCCTCCCATAGCAGGCTCTCACTCGGGCAAACAGGTTACTTGAAGGACTCCTTCCTCCCTCCCTGCCATCCCCATCCTCTCCCTGGTCTCTTGCTGCCTGCTCCCACCTGGGGGCAGGTGTGGGGGTCACCCACCTATGCCGTAGCCGCCGGCGCACTGCAGCTTCAGGTGGCTGTTGAGCTGGGTGGGCAGAGCACACTGCCCCTGCATCTCCCTGCACAGGTGGAAGGACCCGCTCCAGGTGCCATCCTTACGGCAGTGGATCACGTTGCTCCCACGGCCCTGGGAACGAGGGAAGGAGATAATGAGGATTGACACAAAACATAGCAAGGAGAGGCTGAGAGGTGAGGAGCGAGCAGAGATGTGGTGTTTGGAGCAAAGTTCTGTTGGAGCTGGAACAGCCCCTGGTTGGGACTGCCAGTCCTAGGAGGGGCAAGGAGTTTTCTTCCAAAAAATAAAGAAAAGGAAACCTACAGTGTTGACACAAATACAAACACACAGAAACACACACATCTCTTCTCTTCTGTACAATTCTTCTGTACAATTCTGTACAAGGTCTTTACAAGCCCCTTGCAAGGTCTACACCTTAGAACAGCCCCACTCCTGCTGCAATAAAAGTGCCTTCACCCCGTTTGCCTTCCTCCTTGTTACAGAGAGGTTGGTGTCGAATGCAGACATCTTTTTTCCTCTTCTCATTTTCAAACCAGTTACATCATCTCTCTTGAAAAAGAAAGAATCCCCAATGGCCATCTGAAGGAGGAAGGGAGAGTGGGACATGAACTTAGCAGGGCAGAACGTGCTCTTTAGAGCTTGGCTGCCTTGAGTGACAGCAGGCGAAGGGGCTGAGACAGACACGCACAGAGGCAGGTGGGAAGGACGAAAAGATCCTCTGGTGTGGGAATGGGCAAGGAATAGAATATGACATTTCTCTTACAGAAGAGATTCTTCGTATGATACTGAAAAATGAATACCAAAGTCCGAGGGGAAATATCATGCCCTTTAAAGACAACAAAGGAGTGCACAGGCAATCTTTTGTCAGATCTATCCACACAGCGTTGGGGATTTCTGTGCAAACAAGCTGTTCTGTGGGATCTGCAGGCCCAGCTGCCATGGGGCAATGTGGGACATTCAACAGGAGGATGTCTGGAGTGGTTGGGCTCCAAAACTCCTGTGGGGGCCTTACTGGGCGGGAGAATCATGCAGGAACTCTGCTTCTCCTCACTCGTTTTTTGTGCCAGACACGTTGCCTGCAATCTACTCACCCTGCTCTTGGACACTGTGCTGGATATCTTTGGGGATTCTTTAATGTGCTGTCCATGCTGGGATCCCTGAAGGACTGCTGAACTTTTTGGAGGAGCTCTGCCCCACAGCTCACAGCCATTGTTGCACAGGGACCTGCACAAGCCCCCGGTACTGGCATGGAAGAGGGCTCAGCCTTCAGTGGTAGTCTTGTCCTTAATATACTTATGTTTCCCTTTTTTTTGCTCAGCTTTGTTAATGAACACAGTGTTTAGTGAGATGCAAAGTGGTATTAGCAGCAGACTACGGTGTGGGACCTGCTTCCCCTTCTCTAGACATCTGGCCATCACCAGAAGTAATAAGGAAATCATATGAAAGGAATAATGGAGCAGATGGACTCAGGGTGAGATCCTGCTTGGTGATTCTCACCTAAGGGCCAGTTTGGCAGAGATTGATTAATTTAGATCTGACTGTTTATATGATTTGTGTACAATATGCAGAAATGGAAAACCCTTGCTCTGGTGCCAGGGGAGGTACCTGCTTAAATGACCATTACATTCCTGGTGATTAAGAGATGCTGTATGTGCAGCCAAGTAATGGTCTTCCAGCATGGTGACAAAGTCAGGGATAAATTGCTAAATTATAATTGAGCACAATTTGCTGTTTTAGCAAGTGTGGTGCACTTCCCTTGCAATTTCCGTGCCAGGGTTCAAATGTGATTCTCAAAGATGAGCCATGAAACCTGATTTATGTTCCTGGAGCTGGCTGTGCTTGAGGGTACTCTTGTATAGTTTCAGCAACATACTCAGAGATCCCAGGATATCCATTGCTATAGTAACATCCTGTCCATCATTCCCTGACCTGCAAAATCTCTTGTGAAAACCCCTGCTGGGTTTCTTGCTTGGATGCAACGTGTATTATCACCTTATATAGCTGAGAGAGACTTAGTGGGGTTTAATCCTTAAATAATTAACACCTCTCAAGTGGTTCTGGTTTGTGCCAGGAGCTCTTGCTCTTCTTCTGTAGCCTATTTTCTGAGATATCTGAAAATACTTTTCACTGTAAATACCTTTCTCAAGATTTTATCTGCTCCTTTGCCCAAGGTGCTTTCGCAGCTGAGCAGTCACTCCTCTCCCTCCCAGTGAATAGACAGAGTTGTATCTCTCCCTTTCCAGAGCTTACTTCATTACTGCTATAACCCTGACTCCACTGCTTGCTCCCCTTCATGTTCACCTCGTTTAAAAGCAAACACAAGCCCGTTCCACCAGCTGTCATTGCCCTGGATGTCCCAGTTTCCCCACACTGGCAGTGCTGGAACACAGCACAGACCATGCTGCCCCTCTGAGCAAGTGGTGGATGCACAAAGACACAGCTGCTGTGTCCCAGAGCTCCCACCTCCTCTGCACCCATGCCTGCAAGTTCTCATTTCACACTGCTCAAAACCTCACTCCAAGTCTTAAACAAAGAAAACTTTCCCAGGTGCCCTGATGTGAAACGCTGGGGCTCTGCCTGTTGCCACCATGCAGAAGGCAGGCCAGAGGACAAGGAACAGGGGCTTTTAACACGTGGAGCAGGTACCAGAGGTGTCTCTCACATAGCTGCTCCTAGAGCAGGGTTGGTACCTTTTTAAGCATTCTCAGATGCTGATCTGATGGTCTGATGATCTGAATTCTGATGATATGAAACTGCCCTTGTCAAAGCACACTCTGCTCCAAGCAGTGCCTGCAGTTGCTGCCGCTTCCACATCCCCACTTTCTCTTCCCAAGCAGAGGGAGCAGCAGCAGCAGCACTTCTGGGAGAACTTACTTATCTCACAAACTATAATTACCTCTGGTGAGGAAAACTAGGCATTTCAAACAAGATAGTAGAGGCCAGACCTTCTCATATCAGTGAACACAGCTCCCAGGAAGCCAAAGGCAACACACTGATTTGTGCCAGATGGGGATCTGACCTCTGATGCCAAATGACACCTTCACAGCCAGAAAAACATGGAAGTTTAGAGAGAATTCACCTGAATAGTGGTAATCCCTATGGTGCTAAATTATCACACGACACACAGACATAAAATGGTAAGAACTGGAGAGAAAAGTGAGGTAAAACAGAATGAATACATGGGATAAGTGTAGATAACTCACATTCTACTTACTTTGATTTGTTGCTCCTGATTTTCTAGCCAGAAAAAGCCACTGTGACAGATTTTTCTGCCATTTACTGTCTAGAAACAGTAAGTCAGCCACTTCTAAACCTCTACAGGTAATAGTTAATACTGTTACTCCTGTCACAAAAATAATATTTTCAGGCTCTCCCTCAACTTTAAATATGATTTTCCCTTCTGCATTTCCCTGGTTTTGGAAGAGCTCAATGTCCCTCGGCCTCTCCAAGACAGGGAAGATATGAAAAAGCCAGACTTGTGTGGGCTGGGGTGGTTTGGGTAAGGCAGACTCACCGACTGGCTGTCATCATCCTCGCACTTGATTCGGCACTCGCTGTTGAACTGGAAGCCGTTGGAGCACTGGTAGAGCCCGTGGAACTTGGAAGGTGGAGGGTCACAGGTGACAGGCACGCAGGCGCCTGGCAGCCACGTGCCATCTTGCGTGCACTGGATCTTAAAGGCTCGCCTTTTTGTGCAGAAAAAAGCAACACTTAGTGAGTGGCTGAGTCAGCTGGGAGCCTCTAAAGCCCCCGAGCTCTGCTAGCAGGTTGCAGGAGATGGGTGTGCTCGAGCTTTTAACACTCGGGGAACAAGTTGTGAATCTGCGTCATGAGGTCTCTGAGCAAAAATAACAATTATTTGGAAAACCAACCTAAACTCCTCTTTTGGCCTTGGACACATCTCCCAAGAACTCAGTTTCCCAGGCTTGTGGGCTGTGGTTGGTTTGAAGTGGGTTTGTGCAGAGTCAGAAGTATATGACAGCACTAACCCTTTTCTGCAGGGTTTCAAAGGGGACTCCCCAGGCTGCATATCAAAGGGGTATTTCTAAGGTAAAGTCTGTTTTTTGAGCACTGGTCAGGATTTTTAAAGAAGCCTAAGTGAGCTGGGTGCCTAAACTGGCCCTGCACAGCTATCTGCATGAAGGAATTGCTCCATGCTATTCCCTATGGCACATGGAGTCTGCGACAAACAACCCCTTCCCAAAATCATTGTAACTCATGGCTTTCTGAACCAGGCTGATGGCATAGCTTTAGTCTTTCACGTACTTTCTTGATTTTCTGGAGGATCCAGGGACATGGTAGCCTGGTTTGCATTTGTACTTGCAGAACGAGCCCACTTTGTGCTTGTCTTCTCGGCAGCGCGAGGTCTGGAGATCCGCGTTGGGGACGATGGAGGGTGCTCGACACATCAGCTCACACAGGGCCTCAGGAAAGGACCACAGCCCATCCTCCATGCAGGTCAAGTTGCTGTTGTTTCCTGAGAAGAACAGAGAGCAAAGTTAACGATGTTCAGCAGGACTATTTTCTTTTGAAATGTTGTTACACCCATAAGATATCAAAAGCCCCCTCAGCCGATTTGACGAATTCAGCTGCATTGAACATTCATATGTCCTGTATGTTCTCTCGCTCTAGATGATGTCATTAAATCATTTAGGACTCTGCTTTCAGGTGACAGGCAGGCAGTGCTTATTTCAGGAAATGCTATAGCATAGGGGAAGCCACACGGGCTTTGTCATCTTTTGTATTTCTCTTCCTTATTTTGTTCCTCTCTGAAAGGAAGCTTGCTTCATACACCAACCCCCTCCTCTCCAAAGCCATGGCTTTAACAGAGGGTTTGGTGCCATCACATTCTTCATTCTGCTTCTGTGTTATATCTTTTCCCTGAATCTGTCCCTTTTATTTCAATTTGGAACCTTTTGGAGCAGCATCTGTTAGTATTAGAGTCACTACTCCAACACAATGAGGAGCCATTCTCAGCTGGGGACTCTCAGTCCTTGGGGACTACTGTGATAAATATGATTCATAATACTCATTAGAGACTAATTTTCCTCAGGAAGCTTTCTTGGCCAACACCTCAAAGGTAAAAGGTACAATAGATCTATTTGCCTCTGCTATGACCTACTTGACTTCAGAAGGTTAAGCTAAAAGTAGCCCAGTCTCAGTGTATTTTACATTCTTTGTTATTTTATACCATATGTTGAAAAGGAATAAGCTTTTCCTAAGAAACAAAGCACAGCTATGAGCCACTAACCCTTCAAAAATCCCTAATATTCCATTGAAATCCCTGAGCATTGCTGCAGGAACTCTTCTCAACCCACAAGGCATATTTTCAACAGTGAGCCAACTTCGGAGTTATCCGAAATAATACTGACAAACTGCTAACCCCGGAGCAATGCCATCTCTCTGCAAGGGGAGGAAGAGAGCCGGGGCATGAGGCTGGAATTCAAAGAAGAAGAAAACAAAAGGCTCTGGAGGGCTCAGGAAGGTATGTGGAGGAGCCCTCCTGCCCTGGCCTCAAAGATAAGAGAAGCCACATTAAATCAGCCCCGGATTTCTCTCTCCCCTCCCCAACTGCAGATGATTGCAGAGGTATTTTGTGCAGAAGGGAGCTCTTTTCTGGAGCACCAGCATGTTCCTCTGCTCTGACTCATGCAGCAGCTCCCAGCCCAGCCATGGTGATATCATACTTGCCACTGCAAAGCGATAAGCTGTGACATTACCAACAGTGGCTGTCATGACGTCAGTGATTGAATTAGGCATGAGTCATTCCAATGCTGTTCTCCAGAAGCTTAGTGACAACATTTATTAGTCATCAGTGATGGCTCTACACCAAACGGAGCCTTTACCTCACAGCTCAGTGTTCCTGGACAAAAGTGAAGTGATGTTACACACCAGAGCTGCAGCCCCTGATCTGGGGTTGGTTGTCATCCCTCCAGCTAACCCCTGCCTGAGTCATCAGCTCTTGTTGGTCATGATGACTATAATTATTTTCACCGCCCACTCAAAAATATTTAAAGCACTTAAAATGAAATAACACCTTTTGTTGAAGATAGCCTTGTGAGTGTATAAATGTATAAACAGAAAAAGGGAGGTTTTTGCTAAGAAGTAGTCTTAATTTTCTCTTAACCATCCTTTGAGTAGTCATAGTTTTGACTGTGAATTTTCTCTTAACTATCCTTTGAGTAGTCATAACTTTGACTATGTGTTGGCTGGTTTTGGTTATCTCCCATCAGAATTAAAAATAATTAAGTAATTTGCTTATATATGAAGAAATCAACATAGCCTTTCCCTGAAATGAAGAATACTTCCCATGCCTTCCTTTTTGGGGTTTGCAATGAATCCAACAGAGTAGGAGATATCATGAGTACCAAAAAATTTTATACAGTGTTTGTACCTGAATTGACAACAGCAGTTAAGTTTATTTACAAGATGGACAAGTTCCTTCAAATTAACAATTTTCTTGTTTCCTGAGGACCAGGTCAAAAAGGGAAATGTGCCAGTGAGCAGAAGAGTTGATGGTGATGAGAAGAGGATGGGGATGTTAGCAGAAAGTAGCAGGGAAGAAGATCGAGGAGGAGAGGACAGAGGGTGGCAAGCTGTATAATTTCTAGGGGAAAAAAAATAAAAGAAAAAAAAGAAAATGTAATGAGTGCCAAACAAGAAGAGGACAAGAAGGTCAGAGTAGAGCAAAATGAGTGTGGAAAAGGAGAAGGGTGATGTTGAATTAGGGAAAACAGTGATGGGGTCTGTATCATTTGGACATGGGGCTTTTCAGTCTTCTCTTGGCTTTCCAAATACATGGAGGGGGCATAGAAGGGAGACAGACAGTGGAAATTGACAAAGCATGGGAAAGAAGACGAGAGAGTTCAATCTGATTTATCCCCATGACTTTTCCATGTTTTGGTTGTATGGAAGCAATATTCCCTGTCATTACTGCCTGGCCAGCCACGATCAAGGAAAGGTCAAAGCAAGGTAATAGAAAGATGCAAAGGAACTTAACTTCTAATATAAATAAACCTTCCATAGAGTCCCATAATTCTTCCTACTTAAAATATCATGAATAACTCCAAACCAACAGCAAGAGTTACGTGTATTCTTGGGAGCAGTCTGTGTTAGCTGTGTCTCTCAGGTCACTGCACAGACACCCCCCAATACCTTTCAGAAGAGCAGGAGGCCGGCAAGTGAAGGAGCATTTCTTGCCAAAGGTGGTCCCCTCGCTGCAGTTGAAGGTGGCTGGGTAGACATGGTACTGGTCTGGGACACCACAGTCCACGGGCTCACATGTCACCTGCTTGTTCCACTTCCCATCCATGCACGTCATGGTGACGCTGGACTCGGTCTGGAAAAAGACACACAGCTACAGCCACCACAGGCAGCAAGGGAGACACCAAAACCATTTCAAGCCTAACAGCCATAATTTTGGCTCACAGGTTAAGTACAGCCATGTCTGGTCCCTACCATCATCATTTAGACAGCAGCTACCAAACCCACCAAGGCTCATAAGGAACAGTGTCAGAGAAAGGATTTTCTGCCACCTCTGGAGTGAGACACCAAAGCACTTCCATAGAAAGAGTGCAGCTCTACAAATAATCCAAACTCTTGTCTGGCCTCCTGAGACAAGGGGGGAACCTGCTGCTCTGCCCTGCCATCAGAAAGGAGCACAAGCCTGAGCTGTTAGGAGCTGACAGCTGTCCCCCATCCCTGTCACCTCTGCGGTGACAAAGCCATTCCAAGAGGATCCCCCTGTGCTTCTGAGTAGTCAAACTTGTTTTTGGGTTTGATGTAAAAGCCAAGCTGACATGAAGCCATTTGGGACTCTCATCCAGGCTCTCCTGAGAGGTGTCAGTCACCCTTGGATGGGGATCTCGGGGGAAGTGCCTGGGGCCACATCAGCATTGTGTGCAGACACTGACAGCTGCTGCTGTGGCTTCTCTGGCAGAGGGCCCCAAGGCTCCACACAGAACCAGGGCCCTGCTGTCCTGACACCATGGACATGAATGCCTGAGGGACAGAACTCTTCCAGGAGGAATTTACCATGAGTGTCCAGAGTGTCCTGGCCATAACTGGCACTTGAGAGGTTGTACACAGAGTCAGGGCCTGTGCTCTGACTTCCTCAAAGTCACTCTACAATCACAGCTACACAGAAATTAAACTTCTGTGGATCTGAGGAATAATCCAAACTGCACAGCACGCTGGAATCCTGGAGTGCTAGGAGGCAAAGAAGAAAAATAGGGGGGGAGTAAAGAAGCCACACATCTAAAGCTAAGATGAATTTACTGAGTGACTGAAGGACAAACAGATGTTGGCAGAGAGAACTGAGTAAACAACATATCCACTTTCTAATTAAAAATGGAAAAATATTAAAAGCTAGAAGAATCTAACTCTTCCCTTCACACCAGAATAAAGAGAGGGACAGAGGTTAAGAAATGTGAGAAACCCAAACATGAGAAGGGGAAGATGCTGGCGAGGAATCTGACCAAGCCATACAGCAGCACTCCTCTGCCTCCAGGGAATATTTTATTCAGGGCTGGTATGCTCACAGGAGATTTGCACCGCCGGCCATTGATCTGGGTTTATAAAAGGAAAGGGAATTTTTCTAGCACACATCAAAGGGACCTGGATTCCCTTTTTGCAAAAACACCCTAATGGTTTCAACAGAAGTTCAGACCTGTCTCCCTTTGATATATGGTTGCATTCAGAATGGAAAAAGCAGTCCCTGAGCTGGGAAACTGGACACTTCCCAAGTGGGCACAAAACCCCTTTTCTAGACCGTGGAGTTTATTTAAACAGGGAGCACTGCTGATGGAAAAAAATGTCTTTTCTACAAACTCAGAGTAGCACATTCTGGGATACTCAGAGCCATCAGGTGAAGTGATACTGTGTGTTCACATTCCCAATAATTTCAGTCCCCAGTGGCTGTTAATTCTGCCTTTGTTGTTTATCAGAATATCTGTACCATTAAAAAGTGTATATAAACTGTAGGCAGTTGATGTCCTGAAGATTCCAGGGTGTTGTAGTGTGATGGCCACAGGAGAAGGGATAATACAGCATATTCCCATGTCTTGCAAACCACCAGCATTCCAGGATGAGCTGCTCCAGCATCCACCAAAGCCATCCATCCATTTCCCATTAACAGATGCCATTATCAAATAACACAGCAGCAACGTGGCTGCTGGAACTTAAAACATAAACCCAAGCTATTGATGTCAATAAACTCAAGCTAATGATGTCAGGGGCTATCCAAATGTTATGGAAAAGACATGGGTCTTGCATAGTTTCATGTTGGATACTGGATCCATGATGAGCAGAGGGAAGCTGTATCAATGATAAGAGATTCAGCTCCAGGAATTAAGTTATTGGTGTTGCTGTTATCTAGTTTAGGAATAAATGAGTGTTCCTACTAGAACTGCTGAAACAAAGTGTGGTGCATGAGGAAGTTTCTCTAATGAAGGGTTGCACATCAGATGTACATCTGCAGAGCACCAAAGAAACAGAAACGAGAATATAACACAAACATTTAAACAGAAGCAATATCTGTGCATGACAGTCACACCTTACAAAAGGATTGTTTTGCCCAAGCTACCACTTGTGAGAGTGTTTCAGCTGCAGCCCATGGCCTTTATTAGCAGAGAGCAGCAGGACACCAGAGCCTGCTGGAAGTGCCACAGGCCTGGGATCCCCTCTCTTTGGGAGGGATCCCTCTCCAGAGCCACACTCTCACTGTCCTTTGTCTGTGTCCCTGTTCTAGACCCTGATATCAAAATGTTAATAATTAGAGTCTCCACATTTTCATCTCTGGGTTTTTGCCCACGGTACTTTCCCCACAAAGCCCCTAGCCTAATCTGTAAGAGTCCTCTCAGACCCCTATGGATTTTCCTCTTCCTGGCACACTGGAAAGGCCATTCCCCAGCAGAGAAGCTGTGCCCTTGGAGGTAAGACCCTGGCCACTCAGCTTTTCCCAGTAATTTGTTCCATGTTTGGTATGATGGAAGCTGAGGTTTTCAAGGTCAGACATAATAATGGCACATTTTAGAGCATGTCTATCATGTCATCACTTGAAGCACATGTAATTCTGCAGCAGGACACAGCAGAGAGCATTCCCTGCAATGGACACAAAGACCAGTGGCTCTGATTGGAAGCACAGAGGACAAACCCACCACAGAAATTATTGCTGATGGAACCCACCTTGACTTTCCCTTCTTTCAGCATCACACCTGAGGGTGGGATCCCTGCAGCACCCAGGGACAGCACCCCTGGCTGCTGAGCAGGATCCTGTCTGTCCCTCCCCAGCTCCATGCCACACCCAGAAGGTATTTCTGATAGACTCAGCCTTGGATCTGGTGCTGGGTCCTAGTGGCAGCATCTGCCTGTGCCTGTGCAGCTCTCCCACCCGGAGCAGAGCAGGCACGTGCCTGTTTCGCCTGTCTGATCTGACAAGGTCACCCAGCTCACAGCAGCCCACACCAAGCACTTGGCTTTCTCAGCTGGTTTATTAGCTGTCACTTTGGGCACTTTGTGCTGCTTTGACTGGCATCACAGCAACTGCTTCCCTTCATGTCCTGCCTTCCAAAAGAGCAAGGAGGGAGGGTGGGCAAGGAGGAGAGAGGGGGGAGAGAAAAGGGGCCTCCAAAGATACAGTGAAGAGGATGCAAACTTAAACAAATCTGGTGCCAGAAAGATTTGTTTCTCGGGACTTTTAACAGCCTGGGAGAATTCATGTCTCCTTCCTGCTGCCCAAGATCCTAGCCAGCCCCTTCTTCAAGCGATGCTTCACGTGTGAAGTTTCCTCTCCTTAAAAATGAACAGCTGTGCCCTCCCCTCTAAGTATTCTTCCACTTCTGCCCACTACTGTGCCTCTAATTGAACCCACATGAGCCGTGCTTTCTTTTCCTGGCATGATTGATGATGCCTTTGCACAACATTAGGGAGCTGCTGGGTTTTAAATAACACCTCTTGACCAGAGCAGCAGTGGTGGTAGCTTCAAGGAGAGATGACAACAAGTCACTGAATGAGCAGGGCTTTCAGTGAAGGACAAGGGGGAGGGAAGCAGTGAAAGACAAAGGGGGGAAAGAGGAAGAAGACAAGAAAGAGCGATGGAGTTGTCAAGGGGGGAGGTGGGAAGAAATCAGGGAGGGAGAATGAAAACATCCCCAAGATCTTCTTTGTGAGAAAGATACATGAAGGATTTTGCTCCATCACTATGCAAACCCCTTTGTTGTTGTTGTTGAAGTCCCTAAATGAGGATGAGAGAGAGCCCAAGAGTCTGTAAACAGCTCAGCTTTCTTTTTCTTTTCAAGCAGCAAAGGGTTTCTGCTGCATAGAGTGCTGATGAGTTTTAGGGTTTGGTGATTTTACAGGGTTTTAACAGAATTTGGGATGGGAGTTTCTCAGAGAGGGAATGAATGAATGTTTTGCACTAAAACTGATTAAAATGGTGGCTTAGAAGACACAGAGTCTAGAAAGTGCAGAAACTGTTAAGAAGATTTTTCAAAGACCCTTTAGATGTAAAAGATTGATTTGAAATGTGACTTGTGCCCCTACATCACCAAGGTGCTTTTAAAAATGTCACTTTTTGTCGCTCTCTTTGCCCTTTTTTCCTGTCTTTCAATGAAATAGGGAAGACAAACGTGGTTCAGATGCCAAATGAAGGTGTTTCCACTGGTCTGTGGATCACCTTCACCAGATTGCAGTGGTCATGGGCCACTGATGGTCAGTTTGCTCTTTGAGACATTGCACCTCAGCCCAGCCTCCTTCCTACCCATGAGTGTGAAACATCAACGTGTGCAAAGCTGCTTCCTTCCTCCTCTTGCTCAGGCAGCCCCACACATGGACAGTTAAATGATAAAAAGTGTATCTCTAAACCCTCCAATTAGTCAAACAAGTGAAATAACCAATTAAGTGACAAAAATGAAACAAGGAACAGTTTCATGCAAGCCATGACAGAAAGTTCCTCTGGCCATGGACAACCATGTGCCCTTTCTCACCCCCAAATGTTTGTGACTGGAAGAGGAATTGAAGCTGGGAAGCGAATATGGAAGAAGTAAAATGCCTTTTGATATGAGAAATCCAGACCGTGGATCCTGGACTTTCTCAGATAATTCATTTCTTGCCTACACGTTCCACAAGTTCTGGTTAGAAGCACCTGACACAAAGAAATAAGATGATAGAGAAAGAAACTGTCTGTTCCTTTCCAGAGGATCTCTGAAGCACACTAAGAAAACTTTAAAAGCACGTGTTTAATGTGCTTAGCTGGTCATGGGTATCTTTAAGATGCTCCACCCCTTCCCTGATTTGAACAGTGAATGCACAGCACTGAGGAAAACAAAGCCACTGGCCTCAGGGGGTTTTATTAGTGGAAAAGACAACGAAGTGCAATAGCAGAGCAGGGTGAGAGGAAGCATGTTGTAATAGGCAGTGAATCACATTAGTGAGGGGTGCTAAAATCCTCTGCTCCTGTCATATGAGTCTGATCAAGGCTCTGAAACCAAACTTCTCCCAGCAAAACCATGCCCAGCTGGCTGAGCTTCCCCAAAAGGTAATGCTTGCATTTAAATAACACAGGGCTGGTGAAGCATGCTCAGGCTGTTTTGTTTGGTTTGTGATCCTTCATGAACAGATCCCTTCCAACAATTTCCTGGTTCAGCCACTCGGGCTCATTTTGAGAACTGGTTTTCTGTTCTGTAAAAATGCTCAGCTGGAGCTGGGGTTCTGGTGCTGATGCCAATTAGGATGGAAGAGGCCCCAGCTCGTGGGGTCCTGTATTTGTTTTGTAATTGAGTTGAAAGGGTTGACTCATTCCCCTCCACTCTGTCTCCCCCCTCTGTGAGCTTATGAAGAACACAGTATTTCACAAGTACAGACAGGCTGCTGAGTGTGGCTGCCCCAGCCCTTGGCCCAGATGTGAGGCTGCCCCAGATGTGAGTGCTGCCCCCACCACCAGGGAGAGAAGGTGCTGATGGGGGAAACCACCCCCATGTCTCACTCAGAGGATGTGGCAGTGGTAGAGATGGGAGCACAAAGTGGGGTGTCAGCCCTACATCCCCCTGTCCCCAGCATCCTGCTCCCAGGGCCATGCTGCACGTGCACCTCATCCACCTCCCCCAGCACAAAGCACTTGCATTTTTTCTTTTCAATGTTTAAACAAATTGCTAGTTTTCCTCAATACCCCCCTCACTGCATGAAGATGTGCTGCTTTTGTAGGACTGGATTATTAATGCATGGATTAGAGAGGATGGGGAGCATTTCCTGCTCCACTGGGGGAGGTTTTTGGTGATTTGTCTGGAAGCAAAAAGGTTTGGGCGCTTCTTCTGTGCCCTTCAGGCTGTACATGTCAGGGTGTGGCTGGGAGCAGATGGACTGAAACGCTGCAAAGGAGTTAATATGTTGTTAGCCTCAATCCAGGGACTCAAAATTAGGTATTTTACCCAGAAATTGGTTGTGCAAAAACACAAGCACCCTATTCCCAAAACACCAACCCCTCTACTCCCTCTACTCAACCAAACCAAACGGTTTGGCTGAGTAGAGCCAGTGAGCTCAAACAAGGACTGAACACAAACCTTTTGATTTGAAAATTTCTAAATTCAGGGAACATCTGAGCTTTGCTCATTGCCAGTAACTCTTCCTACAGAGTCAAAGGGCTCCTGTTCTCATGACAAGCATTCGGACAAGACCTTATCCCAAGGCCGGGCTGAGATTTTAGCATCTACCCTGAGTTATCCCTCAATTTCTCCGCAGCTGTTTGCTCATCCTGGCCATGTGCATCACAAAGAAGCCACCGTGGCAGGACCAACCTGGCTCTTGACGAGATCATCGTCCCTGTGGGTGTGCAGGATGTAGCCAGCCCTGCAGCTGACGTTGCACTGGGCGCCGCTGTCCCAGCCGCTGCCGCCGGTGCAGTTGAGCAGCGCGTTCTCGATCTCCAGCCGCTGGCAGTCGGTGGCTTCACAGGAGTGGTGGACACAGCTGGGAGGGAGACAAGGAGCGGTGGTGCTGTTATTTGATTATTTCAACCCATTCCACAAGAGCAGTGACTGACTCTCAGGTCAGAGGGTTCTGAGCCCAGCTCAAGAAAGGGCTGCACAGCCTCTTGGTGCAGGTCCTGAAGGACAGAGGCAGTGGGCACAGTGGTGACAAAGACTGCAAATTAAAGGGTTTGTAGCAAAAGGGAAGAGTCTGCCAATTCTGTAGAAGTACCTTCTGTTCTGCAATATTCAACTGCACTATGACCTCCCTACTACTGTATGAATGTCCATCCATCCATCCATCCATCCATCCATCCATCCATCCATCCATCCATCCATCCATCCCTCCTGTGAAAACACTCCCTCCAAGAGCAGTCCTCATGCCCCACCCAATTTTAAATCTGCTCAATCCATGAGTGCTGATATTGGCAGTGATAAGTGGGCACATGTGAGGGGGGGTTTCTGTGATAGACACTCTTATCTTTGAGAAGCTCGATTGAAATCATCACATTCATTTTATTCCACTTCACGAGGAACACCAAACATCAATTGTGTAGCTGTGTTGATAAGCTCTTATCAAGCTCAGCAGCATGCTGTCATTTCAGATCTCTCCAGTTGCTCTCCTGCCATCCATAAAATCTTTCCCCCATGGAAACTGTCCGTTCTCCCTCTGGAAAATTATTGTAACATTTAGCACTACTTGCAAAAAAGAGATTTTTGTTTAATTTTTATATACACAGAGATGTCTGATTGACACAAAATCTTTCCCCATCTCTGATGACCTGAGTCATTATAGCACATCTTCAAATGTGAGTATGGGGTAGTCCCTCAACAAAACAGCAATGAAAATGTTGAGGATCATAAAGCATGAGGGAAGATTTAGCCTAGAGAGATGGAAGAAATATTTTTACAATGAGGCTGGTAAAACACTGACACAGGTTGCCCAGAGATGCTCCATGGCAAAAATTCATGGCCAGGTTGGACAGGGCTCTGAGCAATCAGATCTAAAGACATCTCTGTTTACTGCAGATGACCTTTAAAGTTCCCTTCAACACAAACCATTCCATTATTCTATGTGCAAAGTGTTTCTGGAATAGAGATGAAATTTCTGGGATAAGGACCCCTACAAGTCCTTTCTCTGATATTTCTCTGATGAAATTAGTAATTAATTTAATTTTAATATAGTTAAATTAGTTCTGGGGAGGGAAAATGTTAACTTATTTCACCATCTGGTTGTTTAGGGAAGAACCTGAAAGAGAAAATTATAGAAAGAAGGGAAAGCAATGTATCAATATATATGTTTTGAAACAGATGACAAGCAGTTATTTCTGTCTACTAGAAAAAAGGGTTAACAGCCACTAAAGCCCTGCTCAGCTTAGTAAACCCTGACTTATCATGTACGTGGTGTTTTGCTGTGTTCAAAGCACCGTGCAGACATTATCTAATTAATTTTTGTGACACCCCTGCGAGACACCTGGGCTGGTATTGTTATCTCCATGTTACTGATAGAGAAGCACATCTGCACATGTCTCTACTGAGCTCTAGATCAGATTAAATGACAGTATTTATGTACCTGTACAACTCATTTCTCCGTCCTCCACTAGTGCTATATGGGAAGTGCCCACTGCTTGTAATTTAAGGTTGCTTGTTCAGTGTTGGCCCTTCCCTGGAGTGTGATGAGCCATAAACAATTTCCACATTCAGAAATATTTTATTTCCTCGTGGTGCACAAAGCACTGCTGCTGACAGAGTTGAGGAAGGAGAATTCCACCTCTGTGTTGGCCAACTCCATACCCTTGCATGCAACAAACCCCTGGCTATCAGCACAGCTGTGATGCTCATCACCTCTGCAGGATGGATGATCCTGTGCCAGAGCTGACCTATCCAGGGTGATCCTGCTGTCAGGAGGATCCCCACCCACTAACCAAGGACTTCACACGTTTTCCAGTCACTGCATCTCACAGCCTGAGGTACAGATTTGAACTGCCATGGATTTCAGTCTGTAAGGATTGACAGGGCTGTGGATGGAGCAGAGCAGAACAAGTGAGCAGCACATCCTTGTGCCCAGGTGCCATCACCTGAGAAACAAGGTGAGGAGAACAGCCAGGTGCTATTGCTTTCCAAATGCTCAACATGAATGATGCAGAGGTGTGGACCACAGGCTTTACACACTCCTTACACACCATGAGCCTCACACCCTGCAGGTCCCCAAGCAGAGCAGGACCTTACCAACCTCTTCCTAACCCTACCAACCTCATGTCCTGCTGTTTGAGTAAGTCCTCAGCTGACATCAGTGATAGCATCTGATGCTGGATGTTGAGTGAGACTGCAAATGATGCTTTGTGGAACCCTCCATGTTACACATCCCAGTTAAACTGGCCCTTGAGAGCCAACTCTCACTTTGCTCCCCTCCATTTCTCAGATGGTGAGGCAGCAGCACGAGTGTCTCCTGTGCCAGGGCTGCAGTGCTGAGGAAGTTGACTCACTGGGGGAAAAAAAAAGAGCACTTCTGCCAAGCCACTCTCAGAAGCACATACTGCAAACCTCGACTGCCCGTTGCAAAACTGCCTTAGAATCTGAAAGCCTTCTTCAAAGTTGGAAAAATAATAAAAAAAAAAAAAGCAGACTTATTTAATCTAATACTTATGTGAATTAGTGGAGCACTGAATTCAGACTTGAATGGCTTCAGAGGGAAGGATGAGCCCAAGAAAACCCTTGTAATTTGCACAGAGGGAAATCTGAAGCAACGTCACCGCAGCCAGTGGCATCGCTTTTCATTTCCATCAATGTAAAGGAGAAAAATAATCTGGTTTCTGGAGTTCAGATCAGGACACCAGATGAGCAAGCCTGGGCTTAGAAGTCCTACAGAACTGAAACACCACAGACAAAAGCATTAAGAAACACTTATTGTGATGTTCTTCTTTCTGTTTACAAGTCCCCTTGTGGTCTTCTGAAATGGCCAGGGAACATTTTTAGCCACCCCCTCCAGGCTCCAGATTATGCCTTGGTTAGCAGATCATCTGGGCAGCTCTCTCTGTCTGTAACTCTATATGAATGACTTCAGTGACAAACAATACAACCATTCACTTTTTGTAAGAAAACAACCACTGCCACCAAATGTTTCTAATTTAAATATTTCTGGTTCTCTAGCTACTGGTTCCAATTTGGTATCAGCTACTGTCAGCCATAAATCCCAATGAATTTTGAAGTCATGATCCTGAGTTGAGCTCTGCAAATGCAGAATTAGGAAGGAGAAATTAATATCTCCAAGTAGGAAGTTTAGACAAAGAACCCATCACATCCATTTGTGGATTACAGAAGCTCTTGCATGGGTACTGCCATTTAGCAGTGGTCAATCATCACATGTTCCAGAAAATGTGCATTCCTCAGGAAAGAAACAATATAATGGCATCTGAGAATAAAATTGCTTCAGCTTTAACTCATGTTGACTCCTGGTATAGGACAGTTTATCCCATTTTCTTCCAGTCAAAATCATGTGACTTCATCAAAACTGCCAATTTCAAATCATCCCTGGTCTATCCTAACTCCCAAAAATCCTTACCAAAGCACAAAGTAGTCTGGAGCAAAGCTACACAGAGCACCCAAGGACTATGCTGAGGATTTACTTGCACAAGTGTTGGTGCTGGGGACATTCCCTGACAAGTGTTTATTTTGCCAGGTCCCCTTCAGGATTCATGTGGTCCTCTTCTTGCCCTGGCAGTGTACAATTTCCTAAAACATCTTCACATTGAGGTGAATGCAAGGAGCAGAGGATTTCTTGCACACATTCCATTGCATGTTCAAAACAGATCAAGGAAGGCTGTTTCAATGATGCAAAAAGCCCTGGACTGAGTTAGCTTCCACATGTAGGCTGAAGTTCTGAGCCAGTTCTTACTTGATTCAAATCCATTCTGCCCATCCCAAATCTAAACGAGCTCAGTCATTAGGCTCTAAATCTGTATTTCTCTGTGCCAATATTGGCCCCAGTTCAGCAAGGCACTTAAATATGTGCTTAACTTCAAAAGCACAGTTAAGTCCCACTGATAGATTTGACTACAGGGGGATGTAAGCAAATAGCTTAGGGCTTTGCTAAATTGGAGCTTTAGTGACACAATCCTCGAAACATTTGTATTTTAACATGTTTATAGAAAATTATAACAATTAAGTGGGGCTTCCTTCCTCACATAAAAACAATCCAGGACTTCCTCTCTTGAAAAGCTTGCAGCAGCCAAACTTTCTTTTCCTAACCCCGAGGTCAAGCACTTTTCCAAGAACTCATCTTATCATGGTGCCTTAATTATTTGTTTCCCTCGTGATGGTTCTGACGCGTATCTAAGCTCAGGTGAGCCTAAAAGCTCCTGGTGGGCACATTTTAGGAGAAGGGCTACAACATTATCTCTTGGACAGAGCAAATAACTCCCCTTTCCACATTCTGGACCAGTCTGGGCTGCAGATCTGAAGTGCAATTTGGTTATGTCCTATGCCACCATACACACAACTTGAACACATGTAGACTTCTGAGGGCTTTTCTAACATATTTATCCTTACAATGGGTTTGTGTTCTCCTCTCTAGAGGTTACTCTAAAGGCAAGAGCAGGTTCTTTCTCTCTACATATATGCAGAAGCTGCTAGCCATATTTCTTGTTACAGAAATTAAAAAAAAAAAAAAAGAAAATTGAAAAGGTGACAATGACTTTGTCTTCTTCAGTCTTCAGCTAGATCACATTGTCTTCTTGTATTAGCACAAAATCTTTAATATCTGCCCAAATCCATCGGGCTGGATGGGGACTGGTGAACCTGTGCTGACTGGAAGAAGGATCAAGCTGTTTCTTAAGAAGGTGTTTGCCTTCAAACCTGATCCATGAGAGCAACAACAGGAGTGGTGTCACCCATGGTCCCTTCAGTGATATCTCCTCGGTACTGCTGGGTTTGACAGCAATCCCAGCAAGCCCCTTTTTCAGACTGAAAGGGTCAAAATGAAGCTAAACCAAGAGGTTCACAGAAAACCCTTGCTCCAGCCTAAGGTAAGCCCAAGAGAAAGGAGAGGCATGAGCCAGCACTGAGTCCCCCCTCACTGTCTCCATCACTGGCAGGGCAAATTCCCCTTGGGTTGGGCTCTGCCTCCAGCCTGCCTGCACCCCGTGGTGTGAGCTGCTCCTGCCAGGGGGGTCCATATTGAACTGATAAAGCTCTCAAAGCCCCATCACCCTGCCAGCTTGGAAGTGGGACCGTGTCCCTGGGCGTCAGCAGCCCCACAGGTCTCCCTGCCAGAGTCTGTCCAGGCAAACAAAGAAAATGCATTGCCTTCCACTTTAATAAAAGCCAAATGATGCCGTTTGCCAATTACCAAAACGGGGCGAAGGTTAAAAACCCATTGAATTATAACACATGTCACGGACCAAAGCTTCTATGATTAACAGTTCTGTGAGAAATTCATTAATTTCACCCAAAGCAAGCTGACAGAGATTGTGCTTAATGACAGAATGCAGGGCAGGGGAAAGGCGGCCGAACCGGGAAAGAGAAAGCTGCATTAATTCACAACAAAAAGAGACGAGGAAACCCTTTTTTCCCCCTTATGAAAAGGGGAAAAAAAAAATAAAAATAACCAGAGTTGTAAGGAGCGGTTGCATTTGTTCTGCTGCTGAAGATTTATCTTCATCATTTCTTGTTGGGGAAGCTGACAGCAGGCGAGAACAAGACAAAGAGAAGAGCTGGAGTGGGCTACAAATCCCTGGGGCTTGTTTGGGGCAGCAAAGGATGCAGCTCCAAGGGAACCTCTCCACGGGGGCCAGAGCAGGTGATGGTGTGGTGGCCAGGGGTGCATCTTGGTCTACAGTGTCAAACACCCAGATATGCACACTTCCAGAGGGAGGAAAACCCAAAATCTCCCCTGCAGAAGTAATTTTGAAGCCATAGCAGTGAGACTGTGCCAAGGCTTAACCAGGGAAAGCAAAGGAAAATCTTTTTGCTACATGCATTAGAAAGCACAAGGTGGTGGCAATGTGAGGCAAGAAGACTGGAGAGCTGTGGGCAGCCAGGGGGGACCTGTATGCAGTATGAACACAGAGGTAGTGGTGGATTAGAAAGATGGAAACTCCTGAAATGCACAGTTCTGACAGCATTCCCCCAGTTCTGGATTGGGTGAATTGGGCTTTCCTGCCTGCAGTTTGTAGGAGGGGTGGTGGAAGGCACAGCTCTGGTGACCATGGCAGGGAAGTGCCACCAAGGAAAGGCAGCACTTCCCACAAACTGCTTTGTCAGGGATGGGTGACCCACAGCTGATGTTTCCTACCCAGTGACAAAGACAAAAACCTGATTTTTGAGGAACCACTGCCAAAGGCAGCCACAGCACATCAGGCCTTCTTGCTGCTCGAGTGACCGCAGGGTGGGAAATTACACCTCTGCTTCTGCACACCCAATTTCACCGTCCACTGCATGAGGCTACACAGGAAATAGTAAAAGTACAATAATTCCAGCTATAAAGCACAAGAGAAGAACTAACCAGGCCATTATATCTGCTCTAAGGATGCAATGTGGAAATAAAGAGTGTCATTTTTACAGCACGTCTCCAGCAGTGAGGTAAACTTCTGCTGAAAACAAAAAAAGAGTCTGTAGTCACTGGCAGCAGAAAAAACAACAACTGGAAGAATTAAACTGGAAAGGACAGAGTAGGAATTTTCAAACTATAAATGTCTGCAGGAGGATGGAATGGATTTTCAAAACAACTAATGATGACTGAGGACAAGTACCTATAAAGTTCAATTGGACTTTTAGATTTAAGCCCATTTTTCTTTAAAATATTAACTATAATACATATTTTAAGAAAGAGGACTAAGTGAATGTTTTACTTTCAGTCATAAAGTTGCTGCTAACCCATGGGAGGGATCCATTTACCCTCAAAATAAAAACTGTGTTAATTTTTAAGGGACAATATATTTCTTTTCCCTCGCAATTTTAAAATCTGCACCTTTGCCTAGAAATATCTGTATCTGGCTATAAATCCTCTCCAAGCAAAATAATTCTCCTTGAAAGAGAGAAATAATTCCTCCTATAGAGAGAAGCCAAAAAGCAGGCAAAAATATCTATGTTGACCTAAGGAAAATGAAAGGGGGAAAATTGATGATCACACATAGAAAGGCAAGTTCCTTTAAAAATTCAATAAATACCTTAAAAACCATATTAGGCAAATGCAACCAGTGGGGAAAGGGAGAAGGGAAAGATGGGCAGTGTGGAACTGGCACCTCAAAGGAATCTGATGGGCAGACTGTGAGCAGGGGGGGCAGAAAACCCATGTCCAGCCTCTGAGCTGGTTAAGAAATAATTTTTAAAATCTAACTTTCTCTGTTCTTCCTGGATTGGGTAAAATAACCAAAGAAAAAGACAGCAGTGACAGTAAAGGTGTCACTTATTTCCTGGCTGCACTGCTTAAAGCACAACTTTTTCTACACCTTGGGTACCTGAACTGCTTGGAGATTTTTGTACAGAAGAAAACAGATCTGGCCAGCCCAAATGGTCCCAGCACAAGGGAAATAATTGGAAATAATTCCAATGATTTCAATTGCCTTTGGACCAGGGCTTTGCTTTGGAGAGTTTCTGGTTCCCTGTCAGACATGGGAAGCTCTATGATCAATCCAGTGCTGGAACCTGCAAGACCTAAAGCATTACTTTGAAAGAGTGAGGCTCAGATGGGAGAGCAGGGGGCTGGGAGGGTTCAGTGCATCCCCAAAACAAAATGAGGCCAAAAAATCAAGAAGAAACATAAGAGGCAAAAGGCAGGTGATTCTTCCTCAAGGGATTTCTAAAGTTTGGGCTGCTGGGCTGCAGAGGCTCACTGAAGCTTTGCCTAAGGGAGACGCATTTTTTATTAAGGAAATAACTTTCTAAACACAGAGCACTCCTAGTTCAATAAGTGAACAAATGGTTCAATTCCTACTGAAAACTTGAGAGGGCAGTGGAATGTGGCCCTGTGTCTCAGTCCCCCTGAGCTCCCTGTTGCTTCTCACCATCTCCTTCCAGTGGGGCTTTCTTGCCCTTTTTCTGTCCCGCTTCAGCGCTGGGATTTGGCCACACTTTCACCACCAGACTTCTCATCTGAAACTTGATCCTGCTGTCTTTGGGCCTCTGAATTTATACAACCTATTGCACACAACGATCAGACGCTTTGAATCTAGGTCAGAACACACTGACTGGATTGATTTAGCTATAGATACACTCCTTTTTTTTAATTTTATTTTCCCTTCCCTCTCCCCCTTCTCACTCTCCTGCCTTTCCTGGAATAAAAGCAGGTCTTAAAAACAAGCCAGAGCATTATCAAAAAACCTGACAGCTTGCTTAGGAGGCTGAGCAGAGGTTTGCTGGGATATGCAACTTGTTTTACTATTGCTGCTGCTATGGTATGACAACTGCTCACAACTTTGAATTCACAAAGGAAGAGAAAAAAAAAAATTCTTTCAGGGGTTTTGCTAAATTCTCTCCTCTTCTTTTCAGTGCCTCGCTGAAAGGATCCATGAAGCTGCTGCACCAGAGGCCATGAAAGGTCACAATCTCTGTGGGATGCTGTAAAGCAGAGACTGAGAGGGGTTGGTGGTGATCTATTGATGTGTCTGTAATAACAACAAGAATAAAACGGTAGCCATAAACCTTTCATCCTGGGGGGTCCCACAGAGCTTTTCAGAATGGGGGCCGGATCCAGAGAGGTGCTGAGGGCTTCACCCAGCCATAAAAGCACAGCAGATGCTGATGGCCAGGGCTGAGCCCCTGGCAGGATCCGGCCCCTCCAGGGCACAGGCGTCACTCTGCGTCCTCGTGGTGCCTTCCCTGGGAGGTCCCTGGCGCTGGGGCAGCACAAGGGGGTTCAGATTGAACTGCTGAACACAGCACCAGGCTGGGGAACGTGTGCAGAGTGGACTGGCCCCAATTCCAGGCTTGGCATAAAGGAGGGAGGAGAAAGGAAGAGGAAATAATTCACTAACAGCATCCCATGCGGGTTAAATGTCCCATCCATCCTGATCAATGAGAACACTGCCGGTTTTTTACCCGTGACACAAAGGGGTCAGCAGGGTTCAGCTGCTGTGCCCCTCCTGCCTCCTCCCCAGCCCTGGCCCACGCTGGGGGTGGTGGGTGTGAGGCAGGGGGAAGCAGGGCTGACGGGCTCACCTCTGCTCCGCAGGGCTGTAGGTCTGTCCTTGCTGGCAGCTGCTGATGGTGATGGGGTCGAAGTTGTGGAAGGAACGCAGGGCCACCCCGGAGATGGCCACAAACTGGGAGCTGAAGCTAATGAGGACAGCCTGGGTGTGATAAAAAGGGTGACTGAGGTCATGGATGACGGGGATAATCAGGGGATTGTTCCTGCAGCTCAGGACGTGGACACCTGCCAGAGGAGAGACAAGATCAGAGGAAGGGTCAGGCTTAACACAATTGCTTCCCGAAGCCGTGGGCACTTCAGAGGCATTTCACCCAGAGGAATGGCCCTATAGAGCTGAAAAGTTATGGTAAGCTGCCTGGAGGGGCTTCCCAAATGGCTGCAGAGAGCTTAGCAGAGAAGCAGATCCCTCCAGACAGCTGAAGAAAGGCTGCCATTCTCTGTGCTCCTTTAGACCGCAGCTACGTTCCTATTGTGCTCTGGTAAATCAGGAGCAACCAGCACGGGGGAAGCAGAGTCACACCATTGTAAAATGGGTCCTGGAGGACACTTGGAGCCTTTATTTGCAGGATCAAACGGTGCCGGCAGGCTGGGGGGCTTTGTGCACCAGCAGCTTGTTTGGAGCTGTGCATGTCATTCGCACTCAGGGTAAAACTTTCTTTTTTTTTGCATGAGTTTTCCACTAAATTTGCCCAGATTTGATTTTTTTTCTTCGATAGTTTTGAGCCTCAGGGTATCTTGTTCTTTGCAAGAAAAGGCAGATTTGGTCCTGGAGATAGAAATGAGGGTGATGGAGCCACTGAGGATTTTACAGGTGATGTCACTCGAGGAGAAAAGAATTGTGTTCTGGGGAAATAAAAACACCTCAAGGTAGTGGTGCACTGAGACACCAGAGAGGTGGCAAGCAGACCCCTGAGTCCCTTTTGTCCAGTGGATAAGGCACTCAGTGACAGCTGGGAAGAAATTCCCACCTTCAGGTAGAAGCAACCTGAATTCAAATGGGCCAAACCCGTCTCAGGGGGAAGGCAGAGGACAGACAGCTGTCGGCTGCCCTCAAAATTCATTAATTGAGATTCATGGCCTGCTGGCTGCCTGCAAGGCTCTGCCTCCATAGCTCCATGGCATCACTCCGAGGATCAGCTTGGCTCCAGATCCATTTGCTTCACTGGAGCTCCCCCAGCAATGGCTTTGGCCCAGGCCCTTTGGCTACCCTGATACACTTACAAATTTGAAAATAAAATAAATTCTATTTGCATGTTTAACTGGCTCAGGGATTTCTGTTATTATTTTTTTTCCCCAGTTCAGATTTCTTGACTCAAAAGGGAAGGAATAAAAAGGCTTTCATTTTTCTCCTTAGAAAGTGATTTCCTGTGAATTAAGACATGCTTTTTAAACATCTATCTCCCACCCTCTACTTAAAAAAAAAAAATCTTCCTGTAATAAAAAAAATAATATAAAAAAGCAAACCTCTTTTTGTTTTGGTCTTCACCTGACCCTGAAATAACCTCCCTGTCTACTTGCCTCCCAGAAGTCTTTTGATATCAGCTCCTTGTGGAACGGTGCACGTTTCTCACTTACAAACAGGTGCAGTTAATACTCAAAATCCCGGGTTCCCAAATTCCTTGGAAGTTTCTGCCTTCTCTGATGGAAAGCCAAGACCTTATGGTATGAGGCTGTTTATTCACTTCTATTTCATTCCTTGCACTCAGGTGGTGTCCACAACAGAGCAGACCCTCAGAGCTGTGCTGCACTGCTGGTCACTTCTGACCTGACCAGGAAAACAGTGGCTGGGCAGGTGAAGGTTTCTTAATTCCCCTGAAATATCCAAGAAGATGGTACAGGTGCCCATGGGGGCAGTCAGAGCTGTCTCAGGGTCCCCCCTGTTTCTGTGTTTCTGCCCCCATCTATTCTGAACCCTGGTGTCTCTGATGGCTCTGAACCAACAGCACTGAGCTGTTTGGCATCCCAACCTCTCCATCTCCTACCAGCACTCAGAAGAAGCTTCACATTAATTTCTGGGAGTCCACTTGCTCTGATCAAGGCAGGAAACTGCATGTCTGGATAGGCTATTCCTTGCTTGTGGCATTGTCTTCAGCACACTGGGGACTGATTGAGATTTAAATTATTGCTACTTCCCTTTGGATGTACTTTCAGTTTGCCACGAGCTTCTGCTTAAGGCTCATTGAGTGTCTCAGTCAGTCCTGCCCCCAGTGCATGCCAACTTTTGCATCTCAGCTGCAGTTTCCAGCTTGCCATGGTGATAATTCAAACACATGAAACACAATATCCAGGAAAAGGACTTCATGTCCCTGTCAGAAGTCAGACAGAACAGCAATGGGGAGCTCTGCCTGAGTGAGAGCTGCTGGGTAGCCCACCTACACCTCTCCTCTGCTCCAGGCAGCCTCTTCTGAAAGGTCAAAGGGGCTTTTCCATGATGAAAGCAGCATTTCAGCTGGGAGGACATCCAGACATCAGGCTGAGCCATGCCAAACTCATGTTGCAACTTCATTGAAGATTTCAAAACCTAACCCTCAGTTTCCTCTTTGCTCCTCTTTCTTGTTCTCTTTCTCTCCCAGCCTGCCTGTCTGTCCCTATAAAATGTCACATTAAGTACTGCTGGCATGCTCGTGTCTCTATCATTTATTTCTCAGAGGGATAGAGCTATGTGCCACTGTTTTGCAAAAGGAGGGTGAGATTAATCCAAGGGCTCTGGCAAACTGGGAGCCATCCTGACTCAACCTGCGCAACTTGCTGCAAATTTCAGTTTGTTCTTGGACAACAGACACCACACGTATTTCCTTTGTTCTCCTCCACACTCCAGCAAATTCTGTATTATCCTGGATGCTCATCCAACACCTGCCACTCTGTGCCCCTTCTTCTCATCACTAGTGGGAAGCTCATTTGAGTTTCAGCTTGTTAAAACTTAAATGCTATGGTAAAACAGAAATCTGAGGGATGGGAGCTTTGTTTCCTTAAAAATTGCTCTCAAGGTGACCTGGCCAGCTTTCTCCTCAGTGAAAAAAAAAAAAAATAAAGGCAGAGAACATCTGGAAAGGGATTATGCAAGCCCTACCCTGACACAGGGTTGGGAGCTAGGGAGAGCTCCTGGGTTCTGGAGCTTAAATGCAGCCTGGATCCATTCACCAGACACAGCTTCCCCAGTTTGGGGCCCTGTGCCAAGGGCAGAGGCAAAACCTGTCTATGGCAGCACTTCAGAGCTGGCAGGTCCTGCCTCTGTCAGGCACAGCTGCTGGAGGCCACGCCAGGAGCCTGGCAGGGCCCTGGGGCTGGACCTTCACCACCTGAAACACCTGGGGAATGTTGGCCTTTCAATGGCTCTGGAGACCTCCTGCAGGCAGGACTGGAGATCACCCAGCCCTCCCTGTGAAACCTTTGGTGCAGGGCCCTCACTCCCTGCTCCCAGGGGCTCACCTGTAGCACCATCAGTGTCTCTCCAGGGCAGTGCTGGTGTGAAGCACTGAGATAGTGCAGATTTTAGTGACTGAAGATGAGCTAATCACCTCTGAATGGATAGTAAACAGCTAGGGAGTAATGTCTGTATAAAATAACACATCATTTTCAACAAACTCCAGTGAGGCTCAGGGCTTAGAGCATTGAGCAGGCACCTTTTTTGTCTAATTCTGAGAAAAACCTGAGCAGGAGTACTGGTGAATGGGGGCATCACCAGATTAAGCAAGCAGTAAAGAGGGAGTTTAACACAACAGAGTCTTACCAAGGTCGTGGCTTTGCTCCTTGGTGTCAAACAGCTGCACACCAATGGTCTCCTGCTTCTGGTCCAGGTAGTAGGTGCCATCTGTGACCAAGTGAACAAGGACTGCTGCAGCCACCATAGGCTGGGAAAAATAAGCCTGGGAAAACACAAACCCCACAAAGCCTGAGGTGGAGAACTGTGGTGGGCTTTTAAAAATCCCCAGGAGCCAGTCCAGGACTTTTAAAAGAAGAATTCCCATCCCAGGTCACACAGAAATCTTCTCTTCCAACCTCTCCTACACAAACTACATAAACTCAAGTCAAAGAGCCCTGAAGCTGAACCCTCTCAGAAATTCAATAGCCTTGTCACACACGAGGGGACTTCACTACTGACTCTCTAGGCAGTGCTCAAAAACATTGTTTTGCTCTTTTGCTCTAAACATGCTTCAGAAATGAGCAGCTTGGCCCTGGGAAAGCTGGCCCACGATATTTTGCCTGCTGGGGAATCTTTGTAGAGGCAGGCAAAGAGGAAACTTCTGAGTGGTGTGTGCACTTCCTACCTTGAGCCAGAAAATGGTCTGTGTCATGTGGGAGTACTGGAAGTTGGCTGTGCAGGGATACCAGGCATACTGGGACACACCATCGTTCAAGTCGATCACCTTGGTACGACACATCTGCAGCAGGAAAAAAAGAAACACCAAAACTGACCTAGAGGACAGCAAGGAAGGCTTCTGACTGCTTTAAGTGGGAAAACAAAGCCCAGGTGCACTCCTAGGATAAAGTAATGCACAATAACTGTGCTTCTAAATAGCATGAGATATTAAAAATTAAGTTTCCAGGTCTTCCACCCCAGTAAGAAAAACTGAACTATGAACAGGAGCTAAAGACTCACAGCAGCAGGATGGCAGCCAACAATCTCCTCTGAATTTGGTCTTTGACAGCATTTAGAACAACTTTGCTCCCACCCAAATGGACCAGGGCTCTTCCCACTGGAGTCCAGGTGAGGATCCCTTCTGAGCACCCCAACTCCCAGCACAGGCAGTGTGGAGGTGCCTCCACTGTGGCTCAGCACTGCCCTATTTAAACCTGATATTACTGTAACCCCAGAGGAGCCACACATGGCCCTGTAAACTTGGAACCAGGTGCAGCCTGGAAAGTCCTGCCTCTAGAACCCCATTTAAGCAAATTGATTTCCTCTTTCTCCAATCAGTTCTGCAAGTGGAATCACCTTTTTCCTACACCTGCAGCCTTTCCATGGCAGGCAGCAGTGAGACTGGAGGCAAACTGCTCTTTCCAATGAAGTACATGATTCTCAAGTCCTGTTATGGATGAAAAGCTAAAAAAAAAATGCCAGACTCTGTACACCAGAGAGCCTTGCAGTGCCACCAGTATGTCAGATGTGAAAATGAAGCTGCAAGAAATGGTCAGAATTACCCTGAAAGCACACTGCTCGGTGAAGCTGCTTCAAAAATGAAGCATGAATGACCATAGTCTTCACCTCCACAGCAAGCAGAAAAAAGGGAATGTCCACTGTGGAAAAGTTTACTATTGCATTAGAAGGATACTTATAGCTGAGGCTCCTGGAGCACCTGAAAGGTACCTGTTGGATTCACAACCCTTTGGTGAACTCACTAACTGTCATTACCATAGGAATAGATGGAATTCCTTGTGCTGATGTGCTGTCAGTAAAGCTGTTTCTGTCAGCAATTTAATTATTAAATCAAAAAGAGAACCCTGAAGGGAAAAAAGAAAGTTAGCAGCCATCCAAAGTCCTATGCCCACTCAATAATTCTGCATAGAAATGCCCTCTTGGTCCCGGCAGGCAAAGTCTGGGCACTGCAAAGAGAGCCTGGGATGCCTGGGAATGAGAAACCAGATTGGCTAAAAGTGAGGTAATCCCCTTTAAAATCTGAGTCCTTCAAGATCCAGCACAGAGGAATCTTACAGGCAAAACATAAATCAGCTTTAATGGGCTGGAAGAAGATTTTTAGTTTATTTATTTTTTGAAACAACTGGGACCAAGCTTCATTGAGGCTAGCCAGTGGATAGTGTTACATTTAACAGCAGAGCAAAGCTTTACATAAACTATCTTTGGCATTTGAAATCCAGGCCAGCAGTTCGACATGTAGTGTTTCGCAACTCTCCCTCCTTGCGTTTTCAGCAGCCTGTCTCGTGTTGGGAGCATGGTTTTTATTTTAATACCTCTCCAGCCAGGGAATTTATCTTACCCACATCTGCAGTATATATGGTCAGAGAGCTCTTTGACATGAACAAAGGTCTCATTACTTTTATATGATTTTGTTCTTATTCTTACTTCTCCTCCTGCTCTGTTGGTCCAAAAAGGTGGCTGAGAGAAACACAGCACTGACTTTAGGTGCTTTTAAAGTGCCACTTAATGGATGAGTGAAAACTTGTATTAAGAAATCATCCAGACCTCCACCAAAAGTTTGATTCTAACCCAAAATAAACCCCTGCTGAGGTGGGCTGGAAATCTCTGATAACTTTTAAATGCCTTGTTTGATTTGTGTGCGTGTGTGAACCATAGCACTTTCTGCTTCTGCTGGAGAATATTAGCAAAAATCTGAGCATTGCATAAAGAGCCTGTGTTCAGGCCACGTGGGCTGTCAGGCTGGCCTGGTTTGAGCAGGTTAGATAAGCTTCCCCCTGCTGAGGCTGATCCATCGCTACCCAGACAAGTGTTTCAAAGTGCTCCTGGGGTAAAAGCCTCCTTTGGCACAGTCTAATTGAGAAGTGTGGGAAAAGGCTGAGAGAGATGAATGGCTACAAGGGCCTCTTCTCCACTTGCTGCTGGCCAGTAAACTTAGCTAATGGCAAAAAAAGTTCTTTAGGTTACTCTGGAAGCAATTGGGTTGGATAAACAGTTCCTGTCATCTACAGACTCCACCATCTCACCAGGCTCCAACATATGTGGTAAATCCATCCCTGTTTCAGTTCTGCCCAGGCAGTGAATGTCACATCACACCTGCCAAGCCTGAGAATCATCTGCTGGAAGAGTCTTTCACACCTCTGCTTTTAAGGCATCCCTAGACTGTGGCAGCAGCCCGAAGGCCCCTATTAATTAATTAGGTTAATGGCTGGACTCAAATGACCTTAGAGATCTTTTCTAAATGTGATTACTTCAGTACCAACACTTCTAGAACTACAAGTTCCAATGGCCTGGACGACAGAATAGCATCTCTCATCATTGCTATTCGCAGGAATTCACACTTATGAGAAACAGACTATACCCTAACGTCCTCCAGTTTGCTACAGTGATGCAAAGCAGCAGCTAAAGCACCTGACAGCTGCAGAGGGAAGAACACATCGATAGCCTTCTCATTTCAGGGTGTTACCAAAGGCTGAAGTATTTGCTTTGAAGAATGACAGCATCGCACAGTGCTCCAAACTTTACTCACTGGGGCTTATCCAGATTCTCAGCCCCACACAGCAAGCGGGATATCCACAGGAGCTTAGTGTGTGCTCCAAAGTATGCGGCGACTATTTGTGTCTAGTTACTGGAAGCCCATGTCATCCCCCTCCCGAGGAAGCTGCTTTCAATTAGAAGAGCTGATGTCTGTTCCTCTCAGAGGTTCAGATCCAGCTCGTCTCCCACCCACACATTTTGTACACAAACATCGGCAGACAGAACGATCAAGGCCAGGGAGCACTGTGGGATCTTCCCACAAGAGGGAATGCCTGGAGGATTCCCTTTGACTGATTTATACAACCTCTTGTCAATCAAAGGCACAACATGTTCTTCAAACCGCCTCTCCTGTTTTCCTTCCCTTACTCAGGGGGACCAAGGAATGTGTCAGCAGAAAGGGAAAAGTGATATATTGGGAGCACTTAGCTTTTTGCCACATCAAAAACACATTTACTATTGCAATCAACTCCATTTCCTTCAAAGTAATATGGGAAAATTTGCTGAAGAGCAAATTTTGGAAGGCACCCTCGTGAATGGTTCCCAGCCATCCCGTGACTGCAGGCAATGTGAATTTGTGTTGATGGGTTCCTGTTGCAGCTGAACTACATGTTAAGGATCACAAATCCCCTGGACTGGGCACTGGACTAAATCCCAGCCCAACTGTGGCAGTGCATGGCCCCACTACAACCTTCTGGGCAGCACTTGGCTTCTCCAGGCCTGGGCTCCCTGTCTGGAAGATGAGGATGATGTTCCCCCACACCACACAGGTGTGCTGAGGATGAAAGCTATGAGCTATGAGCCCACAAAGATGCTCAGATGTCACTGAGAGCACACACAGGTGTGAGGATACAGCTCCCCACAGGAGCGGGCTAAACACAACTCCCATCCCACTCTGACTTTCCCACCAAGCAAGCACAGTCAGACACCACAGGCTTTGCACACACTGCTGGTTCTCAGCACTGTAACATCAAAATAATTCTCAATGCAGACAGAAAAGCTGCTATTTAAGCTCAGATGCTGCCCTACTCAGCCCTGGCACCGTGTTTGGAGCGGACGTGCCTGTCTGCATGCCCAGGGGCGGCTGGAAACAGAGCAAACCTCCAGAGCACAGATCTGTCTGCTCCCAAAATCCCATCTGGTGAACCATGGCAGGGCCTCCTCCAGACCGTGTCCTCGAGCTCTGTCTGGCTGTGAGGGGCATCGTGGGCACTTGGTCAGGCAGTGGAAAGCATCCTCCTTCTGGAGAGGAGGGTGGAAGGGGACACTGGGCTCCAAAAGCTTCCTCTCCCCACTCCTTTCTACAGGGGACTGTGCTGCTGACACTTCTGCACCCTGACGGACAACTCAGAGTGTTCCTGGGGTGAAACGGGCTGTACCCTGTCCTGTTGGCAAAACTGCAACCATGGAGCAGGCAGGAACAAGATCTCTTGGTAAAACCCACAGTACCAGCTATTTACTGAGCACAAAACATCCTCTGTGAGGCTGCAGAGATGCACAGAAAAACTCACAGACTGATACAAAACCCATGGAGGCACAAACAGAACATATTCTCTTGTTTGAAGGTCCAGCTAAAGAACAGATTTCAGCTGTAATACTGAGATCTACTGTATTCTACAGTAATCTACAATATTTATCTGTTTGCTCTGCAGAATGTTATTTGTATTTAACTCAACACACGCCAGAGGATCCCAACCATGACATAAGCAGCAGTTTAACACATCCCTTACAGCTGAAAACTTTCTCCCTCCCTTGCCAGACCAGGGTGCTGGCAGTCACCCAGCCCTTTTATTCTTAAATATGTTATTGTTTTTGCTGAGCTAAGGTTAATCTCACCCAAGGATGAGAAACTATGGAGCAGTTGCTAAATATCAGAAAGGTTCCTGCTTGTTTATTGCCCAATATTGTAAGGCAGCTTGACTGCCACATGGACACCACCCAGTTTGCCGACTGCAGCACAGACCTCCAATCTGTTCTCAAAGCTGTTGCACTGCTTTTCTCATTTAGGCTGGGAATTGGGTTGGAATTAGGGAAAAATGAAGTTGCCCACAAGTGAGCACCGAACCATTAAAAGGCCTCCAACAAACACCTCAAACCCCAGCCAATTTCTCTGACCATTCCAAACCTCAGGAGCCCACAGAGCTCAAATGGAAATTGTACACACAGCAGCACAAGGAATTTTGCTCTGCGTTTTCTTCTAGATTCTGGTCAGAAGTGCTTTCAGACAAGTGTCATTATCAGATGTCTTTGTCA